AATAAAAGTGAGTATCTTTTATGTTAAAAAATTATGAACAAATACTAAAAGCAAAAAAAAAGTTTTCTTTTAATTTTTTTAATACTTGGTTTGAAACTTGGTTTGATTGCAATATAAGATTGCTAAATTTATAAATATTCTTCGATGGTTACTAGGAAAGGATTTGTACGTAAGTAACCAGTTTTTAATCAATACTCATTTAAGTCACACAAACTAATTATACTCTATATGTAGACGGAACACCTAATTTATTTTTATTCGTAGTATTTTACCGGCTAAGAACTTCCAGTCTAAAATTTCAATTATAAAAAATCAATTTTTTTTTGATTACAACAAAATATGCGCTAAATATTTACATGAATTACTGAACAGGTCCTAACTGACATTAAGTCTGCGGCATATATGAACGTATATATATACGAACACACGTTCAAACGTGTTGAGCATACATGGACCGACCGGCAAACACGTCATTGCTGCTTAATATAATCATTTCTTTCTCAATGCTTTTGATTCAAAAAATAAAAATTATTACACCTACACAGGTTTGTGAAATGCGCTACTATTTTTCATCAGTACACTTAATTCATTAGAACGTTAAATATATAATATGTAATTATAATTCTTATAAAATGCATTAAATTAAATTTTTTTTGTAATTTCGTATTTAAAAAAGGAACAATATAACAACAGTATATTTATTTGTACTATTTGAATTATTATTATTTATTACTATTTATTTTTGTTTGTACTAAAAATGTCGTAAAACCTAAGGAACTCTGCACTTATGTAAACTTACTTGCCGCCATCTACTATTGGACAATTAAAATAAATGTATATTTACATTTAATTTGTTTATGGTAAAAAAAATCAGCTGTTTGTATAAAATTATGAAATAAAATTTTGTGACCAATAAAACACCATCCTCCATAAACAGTTTTAAGTAAAAACTAAATAAGAATCTTAAAATAAAAATAAAATTTGCTAAAAGAAATCAAATCAACAACAAATTAATGACTAAACTATATAAAAACGTGGACTACCTACTTAATTAATGTCATTTTAATTAAAAATGATTAAGTTTTTATTATAATAACCGGCTCTATGCTTTGAGGAAATGATAATATATTATATGTTATTATTACATACTTACAATATTATTATAACATAATTAATTTATTTAAAATGCATTCTATATGATTTGTTTGTTGCGCGATTTTTTATAATCTTTTCATACTGGTCACGTTGTGTTTAGAACTTTAATTAAACAATTTATTAAAATCTATTAACATGTGATCGCTTCATACCAAAGCAGTGTGTTCTTTAAGACCACTCCTTACCAAAGCAGTGTCTTCTTTGAGACCACTCCATACCAAAGAAGTGTGTTCTTTAGAACCACTCCATACCAAAGTAGTGTCTTATTTGAGACCACTCCATACCAAAGCATTATCTTCTTTAAAGTCACTCGATACCAAAGCAGTGTCTTCTTTAAGATTACTCCATACCAAAGCAGTGTTTTCTTTAAGACCACTCTATACCAAAGCAGTATTTTCTTTAAGACCACTCCATACCAAAGCAGTGTCTTCTTTAAGACCACTCCATACCAAAGCAGTATCTTCTTTAAGACCACTCTATACCAAAGAAGTGCCTTCTTTAGTACCACTCCATACCAAAGTAGTGTCTTATTTGAGACCACTCCATACCAAAGCAGTATCTTCTTTAAAGCCACTCGATACCAAAGCAGTGTCTTCTTTAAGATTACTCCATACCAAAGCAGTGTTTTCTTTAAGACCACTCTATACCAAAGCAGTGTCTTATTTAATACTACTCCATACCAAAACAGTGTCTTCTTTAAGATTACTCCATACCAAAGCAGTGTCTTCTTTAAGAGCACTTCGTATCAAGGCAGTGTTTTCTTTGAGACGTCTACACCCTCTATATTAAAGCAGCATTATCTGCGAATAAAAGTATAGATTTGAAAGTAGCAATATCATATCATCAAGTTTTGTCAGCAACCATATATAATTCTTGCGGTTTAAATAAAGCTTGAAACGATATTATTTACTGAATATAATACAAACAGTAATATGATAATTTATACACATAAATATAAACATAATTGCAGACAAAGACCAAAACTCACTGCCGATTTAAATAAAATCGTAAATACCTGTCATCTAATCTACTAAATCATTTTAAGTAAGAAAATTGGACAATATATAGTACGTTTATTTACTCCCACACTAATTGTTTACAATAATGAAAGCATACTCGCTACATATGTACATGATTCCTTTCAAGTATTGCTCTTGCAACAATAATTTAAATTACCAATTGTACCGCACTTGACACCTTAATAGCTTCCTCGCACCCGTCAACCAATTTAAATGGAATTGCATTTAAACGATATTCGTTCGGTATATTAACTTGACCATTCCACATACGAATTTTCACCCACAACAATTTAACTCAGCTCAACCACCCACTTTCATTTAGATAAATATTTCAGTGAAAGAAAAAACGGTGGCTGGCTGATTATATTGCATTATAAATGGGGAGACATATAAAATGCAAACATTTTTATAGTTGTTACTGTTTCCATCGTTTTTTTTTTTTTATTTAATATTTTTTTTTTTTGTTTTTACAAATATATTTTACAAGTTTTGCTTTCCCTGACATTTGCTTCACTACGACTTTATCGTTACGTCATTGCAAGCCAAAAATGCTTGTATGCGATTGGTTGAAATAATCGTACGATAAAATTTCTCATAAAAGACCCAGAAAAATAGAAATAATTAAAAATGTAAAAAAAAGTTAAAAGTGTGCAAAGAAAGAAAACACAGAGAATATAATATAAACATTGAAAAATGTTCAGCGAAGTTTGTTGCCAATTCACATGAGCGAACGACTTTTGCGTTAACTTGTTGCGTGTATTTTATGTTTTCATTCCATTCACTGTCGTGCCGTTGCCGGTGAATTTATTTAGTGTGTTTAATATTTTTTTTTTTATGGAAGGAATGTATGTATGTGTTTGTAAATACACAACTCCAAAGAAAAATGTGATACAAAAACTTAAAAGTGCTAATGTACGCTATTTTAATCGCTTATTTGCATTTGCTTTTTAGCATGGAGGTGTGTTTGTGTGGCAGCCGCGACTTGCGAGTTGCGTACTCGTTTGTTAATTTTGTTTTGTCATTCATGAGCTTGAAGGCTAAAAAAAGAGTTGCCTGTTTTTTTTTTTGGTTTTTTTTTTTTGGGTTGTGTTTTTGCAATGATAAATTCTTTAAACATTTGTTTACTTTACCGTTTCAATTATTGTATATGCGAATGCTATACTTTTAATATTAATCATGCGGTATTTTTATAGAAATTACATCGAAACTTAGAAATGGGGCAAAATCTGATAATGGATACAGCAGCCACATATCGCTGTTGCTATATTATTAATAATATAATTAAGATTTAAAACAACACTTAAAAATTATTTATCACACATTTTATTTAAATTGATCTTAACGCCCGTTTTGTATGTATTGCAACCAATGCTGGTATTTACCAGAATTTCGAGTAGGGTAAATTAGATTAAAATTAGGTAAATTAGGTGTTACCATTGTGAAAATTTTATTAGATTTTATTGTTTAATAAATAAATAAATATTTACATAAGTGCAGTGCAATAAATCCCTAGGAAATTTCAATTTACTTTACCGCAATTTACTCAAACTCGCACACGGCCTAAATTCTTAAAGAAAAGAATAGTATTGAAATTTAACAATTAAAAATAAAAATATAATTAATTAATTAAATTATTCTACAGCTGATTTATGATTTCATTCTAATCTAACACAAGAAGTAAATTTGTTAATGAACTTTCACAGCAAATTAACAAACCTCCAGAAAAAAGGTACGTTCATACAAGTCAAGTACGCCTTTGGGTCAGTTGGCTAAGGAACGCTTACTCTGAGCTTTAAATTTGGCAGGGCACGTGTTAAAATAAAAGCAAGTAAATACATATAACACAATTACTTTTGGCTGTGATTATCTGTATTAGATTCTATTTAAGACTTAAGCATGCAATCATTCGAAATTCAATTTTTTTCCAATTCACATATCACATGTATGACATAGATTTTATAGATTTGCTTAGAGTGATATCACAATAGCAGGGAGAAAAGATATATGTAGCTAATATTTTAAAGGATATAATATATATTATTATTCGCTTCTTCATACCATTTTCAAATACTTCAAATTTTGTAAATGCATTCTCGATTCTCGATTAAAATGTAATTTTGGTACAAAAATATAATTAAATAATTAAAATGTTTTTCACTTATACTTGTTTATAATTTTTATCTTTTTATATGAATTGTACTAAATCAAATATGAAACGTTTCTTCACTTTTAAAAGCACTTAAAAGAAACATAAAAATTGCAATGTTCAGAGAATCCTAAGTACCTATAATTATGATATTGAATAGATGATCTAATTTAAATTCAAGGTTCTCCAAGGTTGAAAATATAGGTTACATATTCTAAAACAGACAATATATATTTTTTACATATATTTCTTAACATTTCCTATGTTATTTTTAACAAATATTAAGCTAAATTAATATAATCACAATTCATTAATTTATGATTCATCTTAAACAATATCCAAAACAAGTGACTAATCAGTCCAAAAACCTGTGTTTTTAATTGTTAACGTACGACAAAATTCCTAAACCGAATTTTAGAGGTTTTTTTTAAAAAATGGTTTTATTTCTTTCTTTTTTTTTGTGATTTTATAATATTGTATATATCAGATAGACTGTCGTAATTAAAACTAAACTGTGCCTTTCACTATCCTGTTCAACCTTATACAGAAGTGATTTCAATAAGAATGATTCAAATAAAAATGGTTTTAATAACAATAATTTAAATAACAATAATTTTAAATGAAAAAATTTTAAAAGTATTTCACTTCATTAATTTAAACCATTCTAATTATTATTTCAGGTGTTCTGACTGATATACAAACTGATTTTAAAATAGGCGATGATGAAGCTGGTCTATTACAAACAGCTTTTGTACTATCTTATATGATATGTGCACCAATCTTCGGTTACCTAGGAGATCGTTACTCAAGACGCTGCATTATGGCTATTGGTGTATTACTCTGGTCAACAACAACGTTACTTGGTTCATATATGAATCATTTCGGTTGGTTTATAGCGTTCCGCGCATTAGTCGGTATAGGTGAAGCGTCATACAGTACAATTGCACCAACGATAATATCAGATTTATTTGTGGATGATATGCGCTCTAAAATGTTAGCTATGTTCTATTTTGCTATACCAGTCGGTTCAGGATTTGGGTAAGTTTGAATATAAGTACAAATAAAGAATTTACTTTTTGTCTTTATAAATTTAGGAAAATGGTTCACGCACATACACCGCCTTAGAAATTATGTTTAAATCTTAGATCAAAGTTCAAGCAAAATAGCTATAGATACATCAATTTAATTTAATTAAGATTGAAAAGTAATTGAAAAAACTTGAGACAATGCTGTGTAGTTGAATTTTCTAAAAATGAAATATGAATTAAATCAATTTATCTTTTAAGTTTATTTAAAGAATAAAAAGCAAATACTTAAAGAATCTCAACAAAAGTTAATTGCTGAGGTCAAGTTTGATCAAAATTAATTCATAAAAATGCTTATACTCGTTAGATATTCTCTTAATTGTCTGTGCAAGGGTCACTGAGGTTATTGTTAAATTTTGAAATATATAATGCTGATATAAATGATAGTATTAAGTCACATACAAATGTAAAAAAAAACCTATTAAATTCTTGCATTATTCTTCTTTTTTGTTGTTCACGTGTCATTAGATACAGTGCAGTTTTGCGGTCTATGCGACTATGTAACCGGCAAAGATATTTTTAACAATTTTATATATTGTTGTATACAAATATACATTTCGTATCTACATACATGGTGATTTACAGTATGAGGTAATTTTTTCCCCAACATAAATTTTGCAGCATTAACTTGCACAACAATCGTTCCACCTATCTATTGCCTATTGCAGCCATAAAAGTGTTTTTGTCTAGTAGTTTTTTTCTTCTTATTGTTGTAGTACAATATTATATATTGTACTTGTATAATCAAAATCATATAGATTATTCAATAAAAAGACAATTTTCCCTTATAAAAACCTTTAATAAATTTAAATCATACAGATAATCCAATCAAAATACCATGCTTAAGACATATTTATGAATTAGTATTATTTATGAATAATATTCATATCCGGAAAAATTGAGATTATTAAACAGTTTAAATTTACAACCATCCAAAATATTCCCAAGAATTACTTTTTTCGGTACTGGTTAGTACCTTTTCCATTTATTATAGATTTTATCTGCAAATTTTCCAAATATTTAATTTAATTCAACATTATTTATTACATATTATAATACTACAATATCACTGAATTATACCACTGTTAACTAGTTTTTTCAAGAACAAATTGCGTTTGAAGTCTTAACTCAAGATACCTTATAGATAGATAACTTATTCAAGTAAACATATACATATTTCTATTAAAACCTTTAGTAAATAATTTATACACCAAGATATGAATTTTTAAAATATCATTCATTCACATCTACTCTGTTCCTGCCTAGTATATGTACGACGCCAAGATCATGGCTTCCTTTTTTGAAGATCATGGCCTCAAAGCATTTCAAGCTTTGCCAAAAGATCAAGGTTGTTTTTAAAACTTTGACTTTCTTATACGGTAATACAATGGGCCAATAGACCTAAGGATTGCCGGTATAAATTTACTTAACTTATTATTGTACTTCTTCTGCTTAAAAAGTTTTTCTTTTAGAAGGCTATATACCATCGTTTTAGTTCTTTCCTATAGATATGTGACGTTTTCTTTTGTAATACATACTTACTTTCTCACTCAGTAAGTATATTCACTATACTTACTCAGCAATAATTACCCAGCTAAAATTATATACACATTTATTTCTTGATCTTGATCTTGTATAACTCTTTGTCTAGAATTTTTTTTTGTGTGTATATAATAAAAAAACCTTATATATGAAGAAAACTTATTCATTACTTATTTATTAAATCCCCTAAATGTTACTATCGTTAGTCTATATCTGATTGTTTCAATCGCAACAATCCGTTGCGAAACCCGCAAACCATCCCAGGCCAAAATTGTAAATATTGGGTAATATTTACAATAATTTAAAATTCATAAAAATCATCTTTATATATATTTATTATATACTATTTATATATTATTTATTTGTATACCAAGAACCTAATTGTTAGTTTGAAAAAAACATTTAAATTCTCAAGTAACCCACAAATTGTAAATGCAAATATATACTTGCTCTATTGAAGTTATCTGATATAATCCATATCATTAAGTAAGGCTACTCAATAAAAGTATGGTAAATTACAAATTATAATATATTTTTGACTGTTTCATCACTGTCTCTCTTTACTGAAATTCATCACAAAAAGTATTGTCTCAAACTCAAGTACTAATCATTCTTAGGAAGTTTCTTTAACAAACTAATATGAATGTTTATATACCTTTAATAATTATTATATTATATTTTCAGTTATATTGTCGGTTCTGAGACTGCACGTATCGCGAATAACTGGCGTTGGGCACTTCGTGTGACACCCTTCCTTGGTATTGCGGCTGTGATTTTGATATTGCTCGTTAAAGATCCCGAACGTGGTGAAAGTGAAGGTGGACATAATTTAAGACCCACAACTTATACTGAAGATGTTAAGGATTTGGTCAAGAATCGTTCATTTATGCTATCGACAGCAGGTTTCACATGTGTAGCATTTGTCGCCGGTGCATTAGCTTGGTGGGGTCCTAAATTCATTTTTCTTGGACTTAAAATGCAGGCTGGAAATGAAGACCTTGAACAAAATGAGTACGTAATAAATGGTTATTCTTTTTATTCTCTATCAAACCCAAAGAAGAGAAACAAATCAAAATATATAAAATTCTTTAAAATTATTTAGCGTATCGTACAAGTTCGGCATTATAGCGATGATAGCTGGACTGATTGGTGTACCGTTGGGTGCATATGTAGCACAACGTTTACGACCCTTAATTGAAAATTGCGATCCGTATATATGCGCTGTAGGATTACTAGTCTCAGCACCGATGGTATTTGCAGCGCTAGTGATGCCACAAATAAGTCCCTTTTTATGCTTCTTCTTCGTATTTTTTGCACAACTATCACTTAATCTTTGTTGGAGTATTGTTGCTGATATTTTACTGGTAAGACGAATTAATTTAACTCGTAAAGAAGTAATTCAAAGGAGTAATTCTTACGTTAATTTCTGGGTGCCGCTGCTTATCAACGTAAAACAAACAATGAGAAACGCTTGTACGATCGCTAATGTACTCAAGATCAACCACTTAGTTTTACATGGCTGAATTTATATATTTCGAAAAATAATTCTTATAAAATGCAAAAATTAATAATGTATTTTTAACTTTTCTCTTTTTACAAAAATCAAATGAAAATCAATTGAAAATTGCAACATTTAATTTGTGAAAACAGCGTTGCTTTCAAATTTGGAGCACTAACAATGGTCGCGGGCCTTGTAGGCGTTCCACTTGGTTCGGTATTATCGCAAAAATTAAGCAAAAATTATCCAACCGTCGATCCATTGTTATGTGCCTTTGGATTGATCATAAGCTGTCCCTTATTAACGGGCGCTATGATTCTAGTTTCAAGTAATACAATTGGCGCTTACACCTTGGTATTTTTCGGCCAGTTAGCTTTGAACCTGAACTGGGCCATTGTTGCTGATATTTTACTGGTAAGGATCAAGCTTTTTGTGTTTATATGTGTAAAAAATATTTGATCAAAAATAATTTTAAAAAGTCTGAAATTTTTTACTGTTATAATTGGACATTTTTTTTATACTTCATTGTTTTTAAAATATTGGTGTTGGTATTTAATAATTGATAATAATTTTTTCTAATAGTTATTTATCTAAAATATGTATTTTTGTATGCAGTTCGATAGTATTTAATTAATGTAGTTTTCATGTTTCATTAAATATATTACAATTTTCTTTACCCTTTTGTTAAGTTGATGCTTAAAAAATGTATCTATATATATAAAAAGTATTTCTAGCTTTTTGAATTTCGCAAATGTATTGTATTTAAAACTATTAAATATGTAAAATATTTTAGCTAGAATTGAAAGTATAATGGATCACTAATAATTTAACACACACAATACACTTTCCATGAATACAATTGCACAAATACAACTTTTTTGCACTTTTATTTATAATAAATACACAAACATTAAACCTAATAAACATTTATATACAACATTAAACATTTATATACAACAATATCTGGACCCTTAATTGATTAGTACTTTAGAACATTAAAAGCTTTCGTTCATATTAAAAATTTAGCAGGTAAAAATATGTTATAAAATATGTCCTATGTAAGATAGGAGCGTATAAAGAGAGCCATTTAAAGGGAGCCCTAATGCAAACCAATTCAAAATTTTTACGAAAAGAATTTGTTTAATTTATTTTATTATGTTCCTTAAAATTTCAAGAGAGTTTGAACCCCGAAACCACTCCTTTCTAATATATCACTCTTCATGAAAAAAATCCTGAACATTATATAAGTTATATATACAAAATTTTCTATATGAATTACCTTACTAGTGGGAATTCATATCACTTACGAAGTTAACCACTTTATTTCACGCATGCAAGCATTTAATGCTTATAAATGTATATAATTAAACCCAATAAACGGAGCGTCAAATGTTTACTTCTCTGATATTAGTATCGCTTCGAATATGAGCCAAGTTCGCCAAACCTTTAAACGCTCAGCTGGTTTATATAGCCCACAATTCGAGTGACATTCATCTGGTTTACTAGGAATACCCAATAAGTACTGACTTACCCCAAGTAAGCAAAAGTGCTAACTAAAAGCATCACAAATATGCAAATAGTGGTTTTAAAAGGAAAACGATAAAAATAAAATAATGCAATACAATATCACCATTGAAAAACCAACTAATAAATAAAAATTTATAAAGTAATAAAATTTTAAATATATTAAAATTTCTAAACAAGCCTAAAAAGTGCCTGATAATAGCACTAAAAACATAAAATAAAATAAATTCACAAAAAAGTCTATGGAGAAGAATTGCAAAATGAAAAGGTACTATCAGAACTTTGCAAAAATTCCATAACTAACCAGAGTCTGGAACTCAAGGCGCTTAATAGTTATTAGCTATCTAATTTCTTTTTTTGGGTGGACTTTCGTAAAGAACCCCGAAGATCTGTAACTTTACTATTAAGAAATCAATTGTTTTCACAGGTTTCCATTATAAACTTGTCGTTACAAAACTATCACATTTTGTGTCCATGTTTAGTCGAAAATCTGTTCTTATACCAAACTACGTCTTGCAAATATTTTCTGTATAGTTATGCGTTCTAGTTTGTGAAAATATTTCATTCATATTCTCGATATTCTACTGCAGTCTGTCCGTAGGTAAGAAAATGAACTTCTCATTGGACGCAACCTCGCAGGTGCAAATTTTTGCCATCCGTTTTTTATTTTTTATAAATAAAAGAACTATAAGTTAAGAAATAATTATTAAACATTTTTAAGTGTATAACTAAAATTTCTAAAAGTTCTTTAAAGTTCACTTCTCTTATAATAAATCTGATCATTACACCATTCATTATGAATTAATTATTTTATATGCCAATCCTAATTAATTAATTAAATAGCATTTCTTAATTTACTATTTTCTGATAAAGTAATTTTCATAATAATTTGTTATCAGTTACGCATAAACCTTCAACTTTTTGTTTTGGATTTGCCAAAAAACTTGAACCCTTCACAATCAATACAATTTTCAATATTTCAATTTCAATATTTTCCATTTATAAAAATAATTATTTTTTATCAAAATCAGATGTTCGGTAGTGACGTTGTATCGCATGTTAAAACATTTTTTTATTTATATTTGTGTTGCTTATCTTTAAATAGTATTTGGCATTTGTGCCAAGTATTATCTAACAAAACCATATGTACCCAATAAAAATATTTAGAAAAAAATTAAACATTCACTATCTTAAATGAAACTTCATGCGGAACAAATGAATATAGAATTCTTGCTATTATAATGCAACTATAGTCTAATATGCCTTAAAAAATGTTTTATAATGAGTTAAATCACCACATCACATTCTGGTACCTCAACAAATTGCTATGATTATTATTGTTATACTTCAAATTGTTGTAATATTGATAAAATTACAAAATTTTTAATTAGTTTCTCATAGAGCATATCAAAATATTTATTATATTTACTGACTACAAATTTATGAAACTCAGTGTATCAATACTGACGTGGAAATAACAAATATCAATAAGTAGACATCCGCTTATAGTGTAGACAAGTAACAAACATCTATTGTATCAAACACATATTTCCTCTCTTAAAAAAAAAACAGTAATTAACTATTTTAAAGAACTATATGTGGTATTGAGGGTCTCGAACTCGATAATTAAGTAATATAGTAACACTGTGAAGTACCAACAAGATACATACTTGTTGTCGCCGCTTTGCACTATTTTGCTCGGTTACCAAGCATGTCATGTGAAATCGCGAATAACTTTATAATGATATAAATAAAGTTATAATGATTGATACGATATCACTCAAACATCAATCAAAAATGCGTTCGAGTACAATCGATAGATTATAATAAAAATTGTGGTCATTTTTTTTTTGTATAACCTATTATACCCCTCCTTTTATGTTACCTCTTAGCATGATGAAGATCTTTTTATGAGTGTTGTGATCCGATATTGGATATGAAATACTTAACTTTTAATGGAAACCTGTAGTATTCTTTCAAAATTTTAATATATTATACTTAAAGGTATCAAAATTGTATATCTTTCTAATCTTTCAAATTATACATCTTTTTATATTATATGTCTGTAAGCTGCTTTATTGAAACCTATTAAGGTTTCATCGCCTATAGTTACGACACACTACTCGCCATAATGTAATAATTTGTACTCTTATTGTATTGTATTCTTCTCTAAAATCATAATTCTGTAATTTAATTTGTTTATTTAAAAAAAAAAATTTTGAATTTCCCTACTATTATTATGGGGGACTCGTAACCTTCTTCGACGTTGGTCGTATACTGACCACCTAGCCTGTGTACGAACCATCGCTATTCCTGTGGTACCACAATTGGGTCATAATTTGAGTTCAAGTGGGCTTTCTTGGTACACAAGGTCACCAATCCAACCTAGCATAATCTAATACTATTACCCACTACTCTATTTGAAAAAGATATCTTGTCATAGAATATAATGTACTTAATTATTTAAGTCCAGAGAAAATATCTAATAAATAAGATCAATTCTTACTTTTAATGGGTGGATTAAATACATGTGTTGTAAATGTGGATGTCACTTGGTCGTCTAAAAATACTGGTTGTTTCTGAAAGGTACTCTTAGCTGTTACTAGAACCAATACGTAACAAATCTCATTTGTCTAACTCAAATCCTTTAAGAAATTAGTACATTTTTTATTGGCCGGTGATGGATATGAATATATCTGGCTTAATTGATTCCTGTCCCTGATTTTATTAAGTAAGCTTCTTTATAGATATATAGGGCGAGTATGACTGAGTAATTTGTCTAACCGAGTTTAATTTAATTTTTACCAAATTAATTAAATTAATTTTAATTAAATTAATTTTAATTTAATTAATTTATTTATTTTATATTCTACCTAATTGAGATACCTTTCTAAATATATTAGAAACAGAAACAGTTTTTAACTTTATTAAATCCCGTACTAAAAGTGTAAAAAAGTTGTAAATAATTGTGTTTTTAAAAATTTTTTAATATGTAGCTGAGTGTGCATTGCTGCAACAATTGCAGTCACCTACTTACCCATCTATATTTGTATCTACAAAGCAATTTAATTAAAATTAATTAGTTTTTTTTTTTTGTTTTTTTTTTTTGTAATTATAACAGTAAAAAATATATAAGCTTTTTATTCATTAAACACAAACAAAATCAGCACAAACATTTTTGCATAAGAGTATGAAAAGATATCACCAATTCCAGTCAGTCCCATTCTATCTCTGGAATTGCAGCCTGTAAATATGCTAGGGAATAAATAGACGCTTTTATAGGTAAACATATATATGTGCTTCTCCTATGAAAATAGAACGTTGATAAGCGGTGCATAAATGCAATAAAAGTTTGGTAAGAATTGCTCTGAATGAATGTTTTTGAAAATATTTATATTTATTGCTCTTGAGATATTTTTTTAGCAATAAATTTTTTACTTTCCATTGCAATAAAACGCTTTTTTTAATCTATATTTTTTTTATTCAATATTCAAACCATGTGACCTATTTCTTTTTTGCTTTCTTCCTGGAGTAGCTCCATCTTTTGCAGAGCTTTTACATTAAATTGAAATGTATCCATACTTGCACAACATGTTTCATTGTTCTAACACACAGATACTAACTCACACACTAAAAACCATTCACATTAAGCACACTAGTTGTCTCGCGTAGGCAAACTAATTTTATATTCTGCATGTGTTTATTGTTGTTTGGCGGCTTTTAGAATAATTTGAAAATGTTCTTTAATAATAGTAAATAAAATGTTTATATTTTATTAATTATTATTTTAATATAAAGTCAAATATATTTATTAAACCCACAATTCGTTTTTTTTCCATATATATTTTAGTATGTTGTCGTTCCTACTAGAAGATCCACAGCAGAGGCTTTCCAAATTCTAATCTCACATGCTTTAGGCGATGCTGGTAGCCCATATCTTGTGGGTGTGGTAAGTAAAATATTAAATTATTATTCATAAAATATATATTTATCTAGGTTTATTTTTTATTTTAGCTTTCAGAGGCTATTAAAAAACATTTTCGTAACATTACACATATAAGTAGTAATTTGGCTACTGAACCATTGCAAAGTTTGTCTTTAACATTAGAAATGATGAATTTCAATCAAACAAGCAATGATACATTATTAACAACAACAACGTTGGCGCCAAGTGTTTTTAATAATGATGCTGCAATATTTGAGGTAAATATATTTACAATAAATGTTGATAAAGTAATTTTGGTTTAGTAAATGTTTTAGTTTATTATAAACATTCTATACTTGACTTTAGACATTAATAATTTATTACGTTGAGGCAAAACTGTACAACGTTTCAAAACGATTAGTACACTTCGTAGAAGTTACAAATCATGATATTTGTAACACAGTTATAAATATATCTGAATTTAACAATATATAAAAAAATGTAATCAACTCTATTTAACAAATCGATATAATCATAACAGTTTGACTACCTGTCTATATATTTAGATAGAAGTTGTGCTTGAGACGAGTAAAATCCTGTTTTTACATGAGTTATTAAGTCTTTTTAAAGCCTATAAGAACAGACCCTTCGAAATTCTTTCCATTTCAACAGCTTTTCGTATGGAAACTTTGTACAATCGATTTTTTTCAATTCCAATTCATGAGATACTCAAACATGGATCTCATAAGCACCTCTATTTAAATACTTTAAAACTATTCTATCGTTGATCTTTGGTTCCATAGCAATGGTATACTTTCAGAGTTTTAAAAATCTATAATTATTTAACACGTTCAGCGGTTGTTAAATGATCCATTTTGTAGAATATATGATGGGCTCATACAATAAATCCTAATAATCCTATAGCTAATTATTCCTTAAGATCCAAAAGTTTCTTTTTTTTCCTGATTGTTGCCTAATAATATGATAAATTATTCCAAATCCCAGAAGAATTAAAATATAAACTTCTGGATGTCCAAAAAATCAAAATAAATGACGATATAAAATTGGATCTCCTCCACTGCAGAATCAAAAGAAGAAGTATTTATATTTCGATCAGTTAATAATATAGTAATGGCTCTTGCTAAAACAGGTAGTGACAAAAAACTAAACATATACCTTTGATGACAGTTCTATTTGACAAATGTCATTTAAACAGTACTGACAAATCTGGATCTTGAAATCGAGAACCCTTTACTAAATTTACTTTTTCTAATAATACAACATTTTTTATTTATTAAAAAAAAATGTCTAAAATATACTTATACATTTTCAATTACAGGATGATACACCTTTAACGATGTTTAAAGCATTGCAATATGCACTTTTCTCCACGAGTTTCGTAGAAGTATTGGGAGGAATTTTCTTCCTAATAACAGCAGCGTTTATACTAAAGGATAAACATAGAGCTAGTCAGGCTGCGCGTGGTAAGTTTTCAATAATTCATTATTATTAATTCATTTTATAATTAAAAACAAACAATTATATAAAAGCTACACTTTCATTTAAAAGTAAAGTAAAAGACAAAACTTTCAAACAGTATGAAATCTGGTATACAAACTATATCTTTGCACTAAATTAAAGTTATAAGCCTTGATAGCTAATAGATATAGTAGTTTTCTTTATAGTCAACTATTTTTCGCATATTTCATTACATATTTACATTATTTTTATAAAATATTTCATTTTCGATATAGACTTTTAATTTTATTATTTTCAATAGGTTATGAATTAAGAAATATAAGAGTTGATATAAACAGTAAGCAATCTGAGTCGGAAGGCTCAGAAATGCTAGTAATGTGTACCGATATGACATTCGAAGACCGGCTTTAAATGCAATATGAAAAATGTTTTGCAGTGTTATTCTTAAAACATTCTTCAAGTATTTGTTTAAGATAAACAACAAATACTTTGTTCATATTAGGTGGGTTAATAAATGTTAATGCTTCTTGTTGGCTGTTTTAAAAGTTGGAATGTTAATGTTTAATTAAATTAATATATATAGAAATAGAACTGTACTGTTTTTACATGAGTATATAACTTCTACAAAATGCTAAAAAAGCATCAATAATTAGTTGTCCATATTAATATCTTAAGTAGGTTTCTTAATGAGAATATTTTTATTTATAAGCATTTATTTATCGGTTCATTAAAAGTTTAATAACCAGAAGTCAATGCTTTAAACATGTCTTTAAAATTTAATATGTTTAAATGTGAATATTTAGTTAATTCATTGCACCATAATATAGAACTACTGTAAATGAGTTTTAAATCTGGACTTCTGGCTACAATCCGAATTATTGCAGCTTAAGATAAAAAAAAAACGATTACCTTTACACATGGTTTAGAGTACCCATGTATAACTATACCGATCTACTTCAGGAATTTATTGACAGTCGTGGTTTAGCTTTTCAAATAACAATTATCGTAGCTCGGTAGAAGATCATTGTTTATGGTGTCGCCTCTGCGATATATCAAATACTAAAGATTATTAAGTAGAATTGGAATTAGAGTTATACTCGTGTGATTATTATTAAATTAAAGTTATGAGAATATTAAAAGAAATACAAAAAAAAGACTGAGAGGAGTATAGTAGATATAATATTTTGAAACTAACACAAAGTAGCACTGGAACCCAGCTATCTTTATGCGAAGAAACAACAAATAAGTTGAAATCAGTTTTATGTGTGCTATATGATAGTTGAACAGATATACACGAATATCTGCTATATAATATTAAATTGCCAATCCTCGTTAGAGAGAAAATAGAATTATAATTGAATATGTCCAAGACTAGAATAGAATTATAGCACTATAAGTACTGCCTCCACAATCTTCATTATAAATTTATGATTAGAATATAATTAAATTGTAAGGTACTCTTATTTTTTATATATTAATTTAATTAAGTCCATGTGAAAACAGTATAATGTGTTTTAGTTTTTAGTCGCCTTAATTCCTACTAATAACGCATTGCAAAATTTTACTGAACTGTAAGCAGCATGATCAATGGGTATGCATTATGTATTCTTTACTAAACAAACCATTATCAAAGAATATCTAAAATTCCATTTCATCTTTGTTTGATTTTTAAGTGTTATTTTTAATTAATAAACATTAAAACTTTTAATTTAATAAAGTCTATACTCTGAACAGTGATGTGTACAGAGACTTAATTTAGGGGGATTTTTAAAACTAATTCACAGTTCATATAAAAAGATTCAATTAAATATAATCAATATATCTAGTTAAAATTTGTCCCATATGTTTTAAAGAGGTTTGGATCACAAAACCCCCTAATGTATACGGTTTGAGTAAATAACAAAGAATAATTAATTAAATTTGTTCTCTCTCGAATGATTGATAACATATGATAAAAAAAATCAATTAATAAATAAATATGGTGTTATGAGGTACCGGTGTTCTTATAATCATAACTATTCCTGCACTGATTATAAGTGGTTTTCGCTTTAAACAAATTACGTTTTATACATAAACTTATTTTCAATTTAATTTAACAATTTATAATTAAAAAATATGAAAAATTTTCCCAGAAATCTTCATGCTATTGAGATCTAAAGAAAATCATTAAATGATTAATACTTTATGCATTTAATCTGAACAAAGTTTTTTAATAAAATCAGTCTTTAATTATATTCCTATCTATATTTTTTAAATCTCCACAATTTTAGAGGAAACTTTCAAGCTTTCTCTAAAATAAAAGTTTCCAACACTTAACATATGTTTACTTAGTTTTGGTTGATTTTTTTATGTGATGACTCTCCATAAGTTCAATAAGCGGTTACGTACCATTTTGTTACGACATCCTCAGTACTAAGTTATTGTCCAGTTGTTTGTATAGACAACTGGATATATACATATAGATAATATGTAGAATATGTGAGTTAAGTACATCCGAAGTATATTGATATTAATTACTATTAACTCGTCAAGATTTTTCAACTCTATTTTTCGACTCTATAGGACAACTACTCTTTGATTCTTAAGAGCAGGGCAATGGGATATTGTTCTCTTTTCGTCTGTTCAGTTGCAGCTAAACAGACTATTGGGCCATTATAGCCATTTGCACTCCAATAGGACAAAAGCCATTAATTATTATAAACAGGCCAAACAGATCCCTTGTGATACTATTTATTTGAGCTTATAACCTAGCCATAGTATACTACTAGTCTTACATGTTGCAAAATTTTTCCCTCTACAATCCAAAATATTTCGAAATATTTGGTATTAATGGAGAGTTCAGTCACATTATTCATATGCCAAAAAAAAAAAATCATTCGGTTACTTTGTAAAAAAAAAAATATACTATTACTATAACACATTTTATTTTGTAATTATTTTATTTTACTTTCATTTTAATAATTATTTTTAAAAACTTTTTTGTGTCAATAAAAATTAATTATTATGATTTTTCCTGTTTACAGAGAACCATCAAGCTGTGCCCAACCATCCGATATGATGTCGATGATATATCTTAAGAAACAACAATTCAAATTAATTAAAGTCAATATCATGTATATGGAAAGCCATGAAAGACAAAATAATCTGCGACTGAACCTAAATTACTTTTAATTATATTCTAAAATAATGTTTTATACAATAATTTACTTCCATAAATATTTTGTGCCTCTAGAGAGCATGTTCCTGTAATTTTATGGTGGAATAATCATAGCTAATAGTCTCATGCATGCCTATCATTGTTTTTATTTTTTTTTTTTAATTGTGTAGAATATTTAAATTGAAAGTCTCAAGTAACTCAGTTTTCATAAAAATTGTTATAAAATTTTGTAATAAGCATTTAGTGTTAATAATGGTTTTATTTTGTTTATTTAAAATAATTATAAGTTAATATTTTTATAATGTGTATGAAAGTTTATTTGAGAAAATTGAATTTACCAATATTTGATTAAGTTTTTATTGTAAGTATTGTATAAATATATACATAAGTATATGTATATATGTTATGACCTTTCCTAGTTTGCGAAATAACAAATTTAGAAGATATGCGCTTAATTACTAATTAATGAAATGTGTTCTATTTATTTGATGCCTTAACTCTTTAATAGAAGTACAAAAGCTGCATATATAATAAGTAATCAAAATATAAAATTTAACTAATATATCTAATTTCTTTAAGTATTTATAGTTAACTAAGTTACTTAAAGACATATAAGATATAAACAGTCAAACAGTTATATTAACAAAATTAAGAAATGCATATATAAAATTAATAATTTCGCATACTAATAGTAATAAGTTGCATTTGATACCATGAATTATAAATTTTGTATATATTTTTATTGTAACATCCACCCATATAAAGTGCGTAATTTAGTATATAAAATTACTATACATGAATGTTTTTTGAGTGATAAGTCAAACCATGAAATTTATTTTTTTTACTATATTAGAAAAATGTTATTCATTAATTGTACTAGAATTGGCAATGAATAAAAGTCTGGAAATGAAAATGGAAACAAAAATAAAGTAATAAATATTATTCAATATACCATTTATACATGTATATCTTCAAAAAAATATTTAGATATAATCAAAATTAAATGAATGAATATAGTTAAATGAAAATAAGCCATGAAGACTGTTTGTTGTAGATAGTTCTCATAAAAACGGGTTATATGTAATAGTAATACGTTTATGGTAGGTAATATAGTAAATAATGTATGGTTTTTGATTAACTGAATAAAGTATTTTCCGAATTATATATTTAAAACATAATTTTGTGGTTTTATTTTTAACACAAATAAATAAAAAATAAATAAAAATTTAATTAAAGGTAACTGTTTTTACAGTTTAGCTAGATACTGCTCAATGGGGTAAGATGGGAAAAATAATATGAAATAAGTAAGATAGTTGAGATGGAGAGGTTAAAGCTAACCTGGGTCCAGAAGGGGGAATCTTGTCACCGTAAAGAAATACTACGGTTTTATACTCACTTAGACAAAGAAACAGATGGGCTGAATGTGCTTCTTAAGAAGATGTCATGTGTTATAATGACAATCGGTCATCACAGTAGTGCCAAGATTATCGCAGTGCATTTTACAAAGTTGTAGCATGCAGCATTTACTGTGATCGGTTGCCCTATTGCTTTGTATGTGGCCAGCAGGATAAGAATATATTGTTGTTGTGAGCGTGAAGAGATCTGCTGGTATGATCACTGGGATGGAGAGCAGCACTTAACTCAGTGGCTCCGAGAGGTAAACCCGCTAGCTCATGAAACCAGGACGAGATCATCGACTAATCACCTTTGTGTAAATTCAATGAGAAACCCTTTTTGGCTTTAACTTTATTTAAATTTATAAAAGGAAGATAAGAGCAGCATAATATCTAACGGAAACATATATGAAACAGGCTGTTCATCCACATTTATGTATTTTACTTTATTTTTTTAATTATTTTTATGTTACTTTAAAAATAATAATTATGTAACAATTTATATGATTTTCCTTAAGAATCACTAACTCTGATATTTTCTCAGATATATTATTTTATCTGTCTATCTATATGAACAAAGCTAATAAGTCTATAAATTTGACTATGTCGCTAATTTTAAATAATATCAGGTCAGTAAGATAAGAAGTCCTAAAGATTTTAAATCGTCTTTCAACGAACAATAGGCACTAACATATTAAGTAAATTACAGTTACTTCCTTATCCGCAGTAGAACAACTCCGACAAAAGTCGTAAACCAAGTCTGATTGCATGCCTTTGCAATACACAGTGACCTGTCAGCACCCATACTGTAGTGATGAGTTGACTCTGCTTTTCTTTCAATGTATCTGACTAGTAGGAATTTTGTCTAATTTGTATCAGGTAAGGCTTTTCTTTGGTGTAGGCATTCAAAAAAATAAATTGGTGAAACAAAATCTTTTATAAACTTTTCTTTTATCAACGTCGGATTAGCCTGGAAGCTCAGAGAAAATAATTTTATGAATATGACACTGAGAATAATAAATTCAGGTGAAAACTGGATGTAGTGAAGACTGTACTAAATGGATATAGTTTTTAATATTTGTAATACATTCTTATGTATGTATGGTGGTGAGACAATGGTTGTACGCTCAGATCCCTTTTTATAAATTTCTATACAGAGTTACAATATTAATTCGGCTTAAACAAAATGGAGAAGCCAAAATGATAGGGTTGATGAATATGTTTTGTTATATTCCACCAGAAAATCAGTGTCAAGATATTACATAGATAAAATCCTCATTCAGACAGCTATTTCAATGGTGCGTTAATAGTCGAAAATGAAAGTGAACTCTAAATTTCGGATATATTAGAATAAGGTAAAGAGAATATGATCTTATTCATGGTTTGGAAACCGTTTTTTCTCATTGGGATACAGTCACAAATTATTTTGACTTAAATTTGCTTGCATAGCGAGACAATTGACGAGACAGAAGACATCATGATATTAAAATACAATTTTAACACATGTTACTCACCACGGGTTTTACGTAGTCAGCAACTATTTACGATTTCACTATAACTGCCCTTAATAAACCTAGAACAGTAATTGCTGCCCTTAGTCAGTGACGTATACAGGGACTATGAGGCTTGAAATCTCATCGGCTCTGCATAAATATTTTAGAACATAATTCACTTCCTCCTGTTATATATTCTAAGATAAGAAATGTTAAAATCTATATTTGTAAATATACTATTAAGTCGTCGCTGTATTCTAAGATAAGAAATGTTAAAATCTATATTTGTAAATATACTATTAAGTCGTCGCTGTTTAAAATAGTTGAGATAATATTATTTAACATCATAATGTTATCAGTGCGCTTGTGTGGTCTGGGGTGTAGGCATGATATGATATATTTTAATATTATCGCAACAAGTAAACAATTCTAAAATGTAGTAGGAATGTTTAGCGTCCTAAATAAAGAAAGCAATATGCGTATGCTTTGAATTTCGCTATAGTGTGTTATCGCAAACACATAAATAATTTTACAATGTAATAGGGATGTGTGGCATCCTGAAATAAGATACATTTATAGATTAGAATTAGTTTATATACAAGAAAAATATTTCCTAATAAAGAATCATTCGAAAATTGATATTCAATTTTGAATTTAACACTCCACTTATTTCGAGTGTTTGTTAGAATTAAGTATTATATCCTGAAGCAGCATAGGCTATATTAAGTCGCTCTTTTAATTTCTATGTATTCAGTAACGTTTTTTTTAACTATTTTTACTAAGCAATCCAAAGCCATTTTTAATACGTTTTTATGGCCGCTCAACCGGACATAGTGGCAGTTCCATAAAATGTACAACTCAATCTTAGATTTTTGACTTAGAGTTTGTGAGAACTTTGGCGAATTTTCGCAAAATTAAAACCCGGTCAAAACAACCCGGTATATATGGATTGTTCAAAGGGATCTTGGGAATAATAGCTTTCAACATTCAGATCAACTAAGGTAACTTCGCGTTTTATTAGAAAATTTCAAACGAAAGTCTTCATTTGAACTTTTGGAATAGAAAACGATAGTGTTTCATATGATTCCTTAACATCTTTCAATCTTGTAGACCTTAAGCATATGTAAGTTGCTAAAGCGGGTTTTAATACAAATTTATCTTAATTTGCTAATGTAGTTTTTAACACAATTGACTGGCTTATAATCCAAATTTATTTTCTTGAAATTGTATAAGGAAGAACTAATTTTATTTTAAAGAATTCGAGAGCAGACCCCTAATCAATTAATCTTCAAGCAAACTAAATCCAAACTTAAGAGTGCGTAGTCTATGGTAAATGATGCAGCATATTAAAAATAGATTTTAATTATTTTAATAAAATATGATTATTACTCATTGATTAGCAAAAATAAAATGTTGTACTGGTTTGAATGGTTGATTTCCTTATCAGTTTCGAAAACAAACACATTGGGCACAAAACAAAACAATTTTAAATGATTTCATTTTCAAAATTGGAAACCAAAAACGTAGAGGAATATTGATAATGGCTCATTTTTATGTTGATGGTTTGCCAATCATTTAAAAATTATTCTACAGTTAAACGACAAATAAATTTTAATTTTCAATTTAAATTCAATTCACATACAAATTTATATTCAAACAGCGAGCAGCAAATAACGATAAGTCAAAGCAACAACAACAACAAGACTCAAACACGAGCACCAAGAACGGTCTTAATAGCACAGATCAAGTTTTCTTCGCTCAAACAGACTTATTCGCGCATACGGTTCCGTTGGCGAAAGTGGCAGCATCACATCATATCTCATCACCATTAAACGAGATAAATCAGAATATTTTTGTAACAACAAATAAAAAAAAACCGTGAATAGAAATGGTTTCCCAGAAGACTGCACTTCTCCTGCTTCTAGTTTGTTACATGTACATGGAGCTGTGCTCTGCAACGCCAATATTGGGTGAGTCCATTCCGATCATATGATTAAAAGACAACTTGAGGGAGCTGTTATTCTTTTTCAGGTTATCAAACCATTTTCGAGGACAATTCCAAAGTGCAAGGAAAATCCAAGCCCATATTTGTGTTCTGCGATGAAATTGGAACTCATCTAAACTGCATACTCTACTGTAAAAATATGGGTCATAACTCAGGTCACTGCAGTAGCGACTTCACGTGTAATTGCCTATAAATATAATTAAGTGATGTAATTTTCCGTAAAAATGTTAGTTGGTGAATGCTTGTGCGCTTATAGAATATGTATGTGTGATAATTTATTTATGTAAATAGAGAAATTTATAAGTGTCAAGGTTAAAAATAAAATATTGTATATTAAATTTTTAATTCAATATGTTACAGAATCATTTGTGTTTATATTATTTGTAAGATAAATAGTTATTCAATCAGTGAGACTTTTGAGAATGGTCTTACGGATAAACAAAAGGTGACTTCAAGTGATCGAGAGCAGAATACAGACACGAATTTCACTTTAGGTTTAAGGGGGTTTTGGTTTATAAGTTACGCGCTATTGCGAACATCAATATTTAGAATCGAAGACAACTGTTACTTATTCCACATATTCTCAGAAGCACTCATTGAGTCTTGTGGCAAATGAGAACAAGCCAGAGTACTTCCTGCCAACAAACAAATTTCCTAACCGTATTACGACTCACGTCACTGTTGACAATTTTAAGTTCGAAGTTGTGAAAGACTTTATTTATTTGGGAACCAGCGTAAGCACCAAAAATATATGTCAGCCTCGAAATTCAACGCGGTATCACTCTTGCCAACAGATGTTACTTCTGACTAAATAGCGAATTGAGAAATAAAACCCTCTCTCGACAAACGAAAGTCTCTTATCGTACCTGTTTTGCTGTATGGTGCAGAAGCTTTAACAGTCGAGTACACATGCAAAAGAGCTGAATTCCTCATTCCTTATGCTGTTCTTGCCCAACTGTGGTTAGAGTATAGCCAAATACTAAAGTTACTTGTTACACATAAGCGTGTTAATTCCCAATAAGTGCCCTAACTGCGAGTCTAATCTCAATTACTTTAATCATTTGTTATCATGCCCTAATGCATTGTAGTGATCAGATTTCTTTCTCTCAAACTAAGCTAGTTTCAATTAAGACAGATTCTCTCTTATATCAAAAAATGTTTCCTATTTTCGCTCTCATTTCGTCCCACTATATCTTTAGCTATGTATTAAGAATTGTAAATTCTTTCTTATATCCCGCTATATAGATCTCCATCGAACAAAACAGTTGAAATTTCCAAAAAATGTTTTAAAATTCTTGAAATAAAGATATTGAAATTCTGATCACATACAAAAGAATAAATGACTTTTTACCATATATACATGAGTCATCCAAATAATGTTTAAGTTATTGAAATTCTATTATTCTTGTTCCAATTATCGTTGTTTAATAATACATTAACTTCAACTGCGCAGGATCCATTTCTGACAACGAGCATATATCGGAACTTACAACTAATTAATTTAAACCAAAAGTTCTTCCAAGTTCGTATTACAATGGAGTTCTCCAAATATGATATAATCGAGAGAGTCCGAGAGAGGAAAGTTATTTTAAATGAAGGATAATGCCTTATTTATGATATTCACTCTATTTACTTCACTCTATTGACACTCGCTCGTAGTTACCTCACCCGGTTTCACAACCTCCCCCCTATAACCCTTCCTGAAGATCTTGTTCTGTCCCACTACCTCGATGAGTGGGACCGTAACCTCCATTCCATTCCCCTATATAACCGCGGCTTTCGTGACCCGTCACAAAGTTTACCGCTACCTCGTTCCCGCTTATCTGCTCTAACCTCACCCGCTTCTTCATAACCCAATTTCCCTAATGTACGCCCTTGCTTTCTGGCTTAGATAAATCTAGCTCGCTAGGTACTAAGTCTATTTTTTCTCCTCTCTCTCCTGATTACTGGAATGAAGTTTTCACAATGCTGTGGAAATCTTCGCCATTCATTTCTAAGAGGTGGTTTATAAGGTTCAAGTCGCTTTCGATGCTTCCACCAACTGTCAAAAAAAAAAAATATACTTCGCAAAACATCATACTTTTTCTATGCATCTATACTTCAAGTTTAAACAGTTACATTACAGTTGAAGTTATATTATATTATATAATTTATAAATTTTAAATTTTCTGTCTCTGAAATTATATTCTTTGGTCCAAATCTATAATATTAAAAATAATGAAAGCTATTGAACTACTTTCGACCATTAACACATTGTCCTCTTCTGTTCTTTAGATCATCAATTATAATGGATTCTTTCTTTCAATATAGGTATGTTATTACAATATTTATCTCAAATAAATTATTCTACGTATAATTGGACAAATTATATACAAATTATATTCACAATTGGAAAAATTATATTCACAATATAAAGAAATTAAATCAATAAGGGTTTCCAAAGACTACTGGTGACAGATATTTGACTGTATTCGAAACAAATGTATAATCAGCCCAAAAGATTAAATAGATTAAAGTGAAATTACTATTACCTCCTTTTCTATACAGATTAGAATTCCTCTTAATGACAGAAAAAAAAATTCTATAATAAATTAAATGCGCTGATTCTGAGCTTCACATTTGGCAGGATCCGAGTTCCATTCCTGGTACTTGCAGTCTCAAAAATAATTATTTACGAATAATTAAATACAAAAATTATTTCCAAGACCACTGATGATTGGTATTTGGCAATACTCGAAACAGCTGTTTTTTAATTAATTAAAATAATATAAAAAATAAATTTTTGTTGTTGTAGTTCACTACTGTTCGAAAAATCTCTTTATATAATAAATTAATCAATGTAACAAGAGTTTTATATTTAATATTTTATTTTTATTCATATATGCATAAATATTATTCATTAATTTAGTAAAATTTAGATTTTATCCACAATAATATACTTTAAAATGTATTAAGATATATATAGTATCTCAAATTGAAATTATACATAATATGCTTATTAAAAATTATTGCATATTAAATAACTATTATACTTAAAATTGAAAATTTTTATGTTCAGACTAAAAATTTTACTTTCACATATAACACACAACAGGAGGTTATGTGCATAAATTTATATACATATAATCAGAATTAAAACGGTATATTAGATATATTATTATATCATATATGTTTTATTATTTTAAACTTGATATTCCATACCATAAATTTTACCACATATATTACTCTTATTCATATATTCATATATAAACTAATCAAAATAAAATTGAATAACAGCACTGAAGTTATTTTGCAAAATGTACTATAAACGTAAATTATTAAAAATAACCACACATCTGCCTATACTAGAAATAAAATGTAACAATTTTACTTATTAATTGTTTTTGAATTTTAACTACTTTATATAATTTTAGTTTTTTTTTTTTTCATTACAATATATATATTATCTTCATTATACGATAAATAAAAACAAAATAAATCGCTAAAATTTTCAGTAAAGATTTTGAGAATTTTAAAGCATTTTTTATTATATTTTAATTTAACAAAAATATATTTATTGCAAAATTATTTTCACAGAGATGAAAAAAATAACAATCACATAGAGAATTAAAAGCAAATCGCTTAAAAGACAAGAACTACTTAAAAATACAGGAAATAACAATAGAGATATAAAATAGAATTTAAATTACAATTCTTCGTTATGATTTGTTTTTGTTTTTTTTTTTGTTTTTTTGCATTATTTTTATATTTTTGCATTATTATACAATTACAGATGCTGCAAAGTATCCATACATAGATATAATTATCTTTAACATAGTGTTTAAAAAAGCACTGAATCTATGCTATTTATATCTAACATATATGTAAAATTGATTATATTAATTTGGATTTTGTTTTTTAAATTCCAGTATAGATTTTATGTAGAATTATTTCTTTGACTACGCATTTAACTATATTCTTATTGAACTGATTAGTTTCTAATCAGAGTTGGTATACTCACCTACTCGAAATAGTTATTAATTTATTTTTTACTTATATGATACTATTTAACTTGAGTCCTTATATGTTGCAAAAATTCGTAATATGATAAACTAGATTCACTTCGATCATCGACTAATTTTTCAATAAATTGAGGTTTAGCAGTACTCGTATCCCTAATTAAAAAAGAACATCAAATTAAATTTTTTTATAATAGTTATACCAAATCAATTTTTATAAGTAAATTTAGTTATGTTGTTTGCACTAACAGCAACAACATATATAAATAATGTTTTAAAATTAAAGATGATATAAAGATGAAGTACATCTATGCAACATACCTAATTATCTGTACAACTGGCTGATAAGGTTTTTCATCATTCAACTTTAAAATAAACTGTTTTAAAGATTCGTTTTCGCTGCTATTAACATTTGGTAAACCATATACATAGTCAGGCAATTCAGCAGTCGATTTAATACCTAAAATCATAATAAAAAGAAACAAAAATAAATATAATATATTCAAAAGAAAAGTATATAATACAAAAATTATTTTAAAAAAACAATAGTTTTTAAATAAGAGTTGTAACTGCAGCCAAGTGCGCCAAAGCCCATTTGAGCTCATATAATAACCAGTTGTTATAATACAGACCAGCTTTGTTCATGCGTAGATTAGAAAAGTTCCCAAAAGGACAAGGCTGAAAGGCACAATCTCTACGATTAAGTGATGTTTACTATCCCCCAAAGGAATTTTACAAGCAAATCCTAGCGGATTACAACAACAACAGCAACTTGCCTTCCACTTTAAGTGGTAGTAAATCAACTTGACAAGTCTTTAAACTTGGTCAAGTCCTTAATTATGAGTAATTTTTTGTACTATGGCAATATATCTATTTTAGGTAGACACAATTTTTCCACTTGTTTGTACCTTTGAATCAACTATTCATTGTTTATAAGTACATATATAATATATGAAAGAAAATTCCGATTTGTAACAGAAAAAGTTTCGATTTACAAATAGTGTTGCCATAGACAAAAAAAATTTTGTTTATAGTCAATTTGTAGTTCATTTTAAACGATTAATTTTTATAACTAAAGTTTTGGTATAAAAATATAGAAACCTTTCCTATAAGTGAACCTTTGAATGGGTTCGTTTTTAGAGAAAAGTCCTGATAAAAATATATTATATTGTTAATATTATCATACCAACCTAAAGTGTTTTCCAGTATCTTCGACGGTACATTCAGTCCAACATATAAAATAATTAATAAACCACAATCCAATAGAAACATTGACCTCGAGTCCAAACTTTAGAAAAAACAAAATAATAATTATTATAAGCAAAAATTAATTTCACTCTAACTTAAACTTACAATTCTGCGGATAACTGTAAGCGCGGAACATTGGGTAATTCTTCTTCTTCATCGTCATCATTAGAATTTTGCACATTATAGAATAGCACATCTAAGTGATAGAATTGTGGATATATATATTTCATTAACTGATCCAATGGCAACGTTTTCATACAATCCATTGCATGAACCCGATCATCAAGTCTAGTACTTGTGCCTATACGGAATGCAGGCTAAAATGGTACAAAAAAAAATATATAAGTATACCTTATTGTTTATATTTATATATAACTAATTTATATAACTTACATGTTTGAGCAATGCCAAAATGTACATTGGTAACAATGCCAAACTTCTTGGTACAATTAGTTGGCCTGTTTGCCCGGCTGGTAAGTTTTGTGCTATTTTAAATGCATTTAATATATCTACAGTGGCGTTTATAAATGCGTCTCTTGCATCAGATAGATTTGATGTAATTGAACGATCAACTGCCATTTTAGCAAGTAAACTTATAATTGCTTCTGTATCCGCAGCATGCATAATTTCCGGTAATGAACCAGTCACTGGCAAACAAATAGTATGCACTCGTATACGCCGCTCACCTTCACTATTAGTATACAATAACGCAGCTTGAAAGCAAACAGTTTTGACATCGTTCAAAGTTTCTTCATAAGAAATCTATAGAGACAAATTAATTAGCAGATTTTTTATAAATGTTAAATTGTTATTTAAATTTATATACTTACTTGCATGCCATACCCAGCGTCAGGATTAACATTGGGTAAAGAGAGTAAATCTGTAGAACGGACAAAGAAATTGCCATGGAATGTATGCACTTGCAATCCTCGTGTGCATCGTATGCGCATCACTGCTTCAAAACCAATTTTTCGAGTTAAATATCTCTTGAAACATTGCTTAAATGAGTCCACATATTGAGGTTTGGTTTTTTGGTAAAGAGGGAAATGATGAACACAACCTCCACTATATTTACTGATACCAGCTAAAGATAGAAATGTGGGTTTATTAATTATTTTACTTATAACTTATATTTATGTTATTTTAATACGTACATATTGTCGCCATGTCACTATACTGCTGATTTAACAAAAACAAGTCAACAGCTACTTGATAGCCAGAACACTCTAAAGCAAAACGTTTATAAAAATCGGTAGCTGGATTTAAATGCGCTACATCCTTTGCTGAACGATTATTTGGATCTTCACGTGGTTCTAGTGAACCAGGTCCCTTGTTTGGAAGGCACGTTTGGAATACAGTAACACGACCACCAGTTGCTTGCTGCACATAAAATGAATTAAAGTTATTTATTAAATTCATACAAATTATTTAATAAAAGTAAAATAAGAATAGAAAAGTAGTTACATTGTTAAGTAATATAAATAATACGAGCCATTAAAAGATATATGTTATATACAATAACATATATTGTATATACGATATATTGTATATACGATATATTGTATATACGATATATTGTATATACGATATATTGTATATACGATATATGTATATATATGTAATAGATACTGCATCTTTCACATAATTTGGTCACTAATATAGATCAACTAATTTATAAGTACAAGTATTTCTGAAATTTAACTGATAAGTACTTTCAAAAAAGAACAGAGTTACTAGGGCCAGAACGCAGACTCTAGAAATTAAAGTTAAGACTACACCAAAAATCTGAGTATAGTCTTAACCCAGGTATTATTAAGAGACAGTTTCGCTTTTATTTAACAAATGTTTATAGCAAGAATACATGAGTTAGGTTGGATATGGGTGTAGGAAACGACAGACTCTTGGCTTACAGGGACTACATAATAGAATTGGACATACCTCATTTGACTTCATACACTACCGATAACTATGATATCTAATTTAATTATACTGCATATATACTTTTACGTGTATTGTACAATGCAAATATAACAACAAAGACACGTAAAAAGTTTTCCTTACTAAGAAGAAGGAAAACTGTCGTTACAAATTATTTGATTTGACGGTAGCTAATTAAACTATCTAATATCAAATTAAACAAACTGCTATCTATTTATTTCTATTATTTCTTTACTATTTAAAGCTATATATTTATTCCTCATTTATGTCTATATCTATCCCATGACCAGAAGCAACTATTATTCAGCTAATAATTCAAAAAATATATTATTTACCATCAATTTAAAAGCAACTTGCAATGCAGCACCCATAGCTGAACCACTATCATGCGAATCGGCAAACCTTGTTGGCAGTTGAGTTAATAAATCTTTTACAAGTTCTTTACATTCTTTTAAATTAACAAGCAAATTATCTGGACGTGGTAAGAACGGATCTAAAAAATTTATAAAAAAATTAACAAAAGCGTACAATTGTAGAACTGTATAATGCTATATCTTACCATCAATATCCAGCAAAGTCATTTCATGTGGTTGATTATAAGTATCAGCCATGCTATAGAAATGCACCTGACTATTATAAGCAATGAAGCCTACTTGGGTACGTGCATCACCTGGCATGCTTTCCAATTGTTTATTTAGCACATCACAAGCATTTTCCAAGTAACCCGTTTGTTGTGCAATAATTGATACATCAAAAAGAAATAAATAAATTGCTGGCTGAGGTGGACGTAGCTGTAACAAAAAATTTTATTATTATAAGATGTTGTATTTAAATTAAAAAATGTTACATACCATATATTCAGACGGTGCTATGAATTCAATTGTACTTGAACGTACTTCCGGTCGACGCGTTACATCGCCATAAGTTTTAGTTGCCGGATCAAATTGGAAATCATCAGGCACTAAATTGAATATATAATTAAAATATAATTTTAAACTAATTATTGATAGGGAAAATATATTTTGTAGATGAAATATTTACATTCATTAACTCTGTAGCAGAGATTACACTTCCACATTTTACTATCGACGAAGTATGCAAATGGATTTATGTAAGTTCGACAGAGCCGACATCGCACTATATTTGGACACTGTATAACTGGCAGGCTCTATATTGAAAATTCTCATCATTGTATATTGCAATACAAAATTTATAATAAAAATATAACTTACATTAATGTCTCGGAATGGATGGATTAAAATACCCAATGGTAATCTCGATTTTTGTAGTAATGACTGACTTTCCGGTATTTTTGCTATCGTGCAACGCATAATGCTGTAAATTATAAACAAAAAATTTATTTATTAATTGAATCAATCTAATGATATGTTAATCGTAGCAATATATATAATACTTACTTTGGATTACAATTTATAGATTCATGAAATTGATTATGTAGTATAATTTTTGGAGGTGCTATCGTAGCTGGTGTCAAAATGTGACGATTCTGCATTAGATCTATTGTGTCTTGACCCCATAATCTACTAAAACCATGTTGAGTAACATTCATTGATTGATTATATGGATTAGCTGCCCCAGAGTATTGTTGTTGTGGTTGTTGCTGGCTTTGATATTGCAAAGGTCCAGTAGTAGGTTGCCCGTTAAACATGCCTGGTTGCGAAGGTTTTGCTTGTCCTTGTTGATGGTAAGCTTGTGAATAAGGTTGGGTCTGAAATTGTTCTTGAGTTTGCGTTGGTGTTTGCATTGGCATTGGAGGCAATTGACCCGCTGTAGGAGGGTACATTGCTTTACGCACTGCTGTCGGTGCAGTTTGTGGATATTGCTGTTGGAGTTGTTGTGGTGGTTGTTGCTGCTGTTGTTGCTGTGGTAGCTGAGGATATTGTTGTTGTTGTGGTTGCTGTTGCTGTTGTGGCTGAGGATATTGTTGCTTTTGTTGCAACTGGGAATATTTTTGTTGTTGGTTATTATTATTTATTTGATTCTGTTGAACTGCAACAGACCCCGAAGTTGGAGGAATTCCACTCGTATTGTTTACATTTGGAAGTTGTGAAGGAAACGACTGCGGTTGAGTTAGTGGTGGGCGCATCATCAACGGTGCTGTTGATATTCCATAAGGTGTAATAGTTTGTGTTGTTGGATTTAACGCGTTAGATAGCACATTTTGTGAATCATTTGTGGCCGTTGGATTGTACGGCATACTACTACTACTAGGTGGTTTTTGAATATTTTCGGAAGTTTTATTTGCAAACCTCGGAGGAGGCAGCATTGGTTGTGATGCATTAAATATAGGAGGTTTTGTATTCTAAAATATAAATAATATTAAAATAAATTATAGCAAAAAATAAATATGTTATTATTTACCTGTTGCTGAAGTTGCGGCTGAATTTGTGGTTGTGAATGCAAAAGTGGATTAGTATTTAGAGCAGCGTTAGTATTTATTGAAGGTGGCAACGGAGCTTGCGACATGGTGCCTGTACCATTTACACGATTAAGATTTAAATTTTGCATACTTCCACTCAAGTTGTTTTCAGGTATTGTTGTTGGTATTGTAGTAGATGGCGGAGCTGATGTGGGTGGAAAAGTTGGTGGAACACTTTGTGGTTGTTGTTGCTGTAAGTGCTGATGTTGGATGTTCTGTGGTTGTTGTTGTTGTTGGAGTTGGTTTTGCTGTTGTTGTGGTGGTTGATGCATGTTTAATGATTGTAATGAAGGTGATGCTGTCCGGGAAGAGTTAGCACTAATACCTCCATTCGTTTGCGGTATTCCTTGCATTGGACCATTCATCATTGGCGGCCGTAAGTGTGCAGGTAAATTGCTGGGAGCAGGTGGTTGCATTGCGTTTGTATGCGAACTCAATGAAGTATTTAAGACAGTCGGCGGTGCAACATAATTCGAAGTTGCTGTTGTTGGCGGCATAAATTTACTAATATTACTGTTCATTATTGGCGTAGGTACTGAACTTGGTAATTGTTGTTGCTGCTGATTTGGTGGTTGTTGCAATAATTGCTTCTGTTGTAAAATCTGTTGTTGCTGCTGTACAAATTGTGGGGGTTGTTGTTGCAGGTTACTTGCTTGTGGTAATCCATTTGCAGCATGCAAATGCCCCATAGGCGGAGGCCCATAATTTGTATTTGTATAATTTGACATTTTTTCTCTTTAGTACATAGACTTTAATCTGTAAGCAGTAAAATAAAAATTAGATTTCAATATTTAATGAATGAATACTATACAATATGCTGTTTTTCTTAAAAATATTTACATTTTATATAATATTAATTCCAATGGTAATTTATATGTAATTTACTCATTAACAACACCCAAAGATGGCCCTGTTTAGTACTTTAACTTACCGTAACACAGACGGCGGAAGACTATGCTTTACATAATTATGGTAAAACATTTCTTGAAAGCACGTTAATTGATAAGAATTCAAATCTTATCAGTTTATCTGAGAAGAGACATTTTTCGTTTAAATTTTGATGACTCACAATGAAGGGCATCAAATTTTTGGTTATTTTAAAGCCATTGACTGACATTGAACGTTCGTGAATAACAAAAAAAAAACAATTTAGTAGCACAAATACTTGAATTTTTACCCATTGCCAATAAAATATAAGTAAAAAATATTGGTTAACACTTTATAATTTATTTACATAAAATTACAGATTTATACTCATTCATACAGTTTTAAATTATAAATTTGACTTCTCATGCAAAACGAAAATTGAGGTAAATTTAATTTAATTTAAATTGAATATTTCTGTGAGAAATTATATGTATAAAGTAAAGTCTTTTAAATTATTAAACTGGAACGATTGTTGAAAATATTATAGTACTCATTTAATGTGAATACTATTTTCCATTTTTGAAGTAACTACTGCAGTGGAAAAATGAAATTTCAATTTTATAATGAAAACTATAAAATTATTTTCGATATATCTAATATTTAATATAAAACTTTATTATTAATTCACTTTTCACATATCTTAATCTGTCGTATTTTATAAAAATAGAAATTGTTGATGTGGATAGTATGGAAACGCCTTGAATGTTACAACATTATTTGGTCGCCTGTAAATTTCTTCAGGTAACAGGTATAAATCATAAGAGAATTGACTAATTCCTCCAGCGACTAATCTTTTAAAACATAATTTCTAATTTCACATTACTTAGTATTGAATATTCAGTTAAATTTCTTTTGAGGTATCATATTTTATCATACATATATGCAAATTTATGATAGTCTAATGACCCTTATAGATTGAGTAAATGGGTTAAATTGTTTTTAACTCAATTTAAAAGTCTATGTAACACGAGAACTTCATAATAGAAAGCTCGATACATTTTTAAAGCGCTTTCAGCACCGCACAAGTGAACGTCTTAAACGACTAACCTCACAACTTCTGTTAAAATTTTATAGTTCCAAAGTTATGAAAATCAAATATGTTTTACCAAGAATAATGGAGCAATAGAAAACATAGTAACAATAACAATATCTATGGTCATTTTATGAAACTGACATAACTGATATCTATTTTTCTTCAAAAGAAAAAAAAAATATTATAAACCGTTACAAAGCCTAGATTGACGACAAAAAAGATAATGCTGTGAATTTAGTGGAATTACAATGATATCATTCATTGTAAGTTACTGCTACTCGATTTCACATTTGTTTAAAAAAATAATAAAGACAAGGTCGAAATTAATCAAAAGAGCAGGTGTTGTGTGGTGTCATAAGAAAAGACACATCTTGTAACCGGCGAAATCATGGCTAGCGAATTTTAAAACATCTATCATATATGTACTATTAAGTTATCCTTACAGAAAAGTAGCAGAAAGTCGAAAAAATTGATATGACTGTGTACGCCCATGCCCGCGACTCAAATAGACTTCTTACACTGAACAGAAAGGATATTAAAATTCTAGTACCATCTCTACAAAACAAGCCTATTAGAGAACATTACAACATTATCTATTGCTTTTATCTGTTGATATTGAAATATCTGAACACATTCTCTCCAATTACCTTAAACTGAGCTGCAGTACATTAGACATTAGGCATTAGAAGTCAAGAGAAGTTTATAAAGTATTGAATAGTAAGCGCATTACGGAATGACTAATTTTTTGAAGTTATTTAATGTAAAATAAATAGAAGTATTTAATTGCTTTAATAGATTTGAATGTAGACTTCTAAATTACTTATTGCTTTCATAACTCAAAGTAACTAACATTAACGTATTGAACACATCAGCTAGTATAAAGAGTATATTAGGTCCAAATAATGATAACATAAAGCAGTTATTATACAATTAGAACTGCTTAGTTTTGAAAATATGAGTAAAGAATTGTTAAACAAAAAATTTTTAAACAGAATATATTATATAAAACTATTAATTGTCCTGAACTGGATTTGATTTGAATTCATATAATACTATAATACTAATAAAAATATTTATAAACATACGAAACATGTTACGTGTCCAAGCTGAGTTATAAAAAATGACAGATAAATATGCAAATATAAATAAATAGAAATTAGAATAATAACTGAAATTGTGTTTGGGACTATCGACTTAGTCATACCCTTACATACCACATACCTTTCACATATTAACATTTAGTTGTATATGAATTAATTTTTTTAACTTTTAAAATATTTGATATCCTTAAATATCCTTAGACAAAGGATTCATGTGGAATCTTTTGCTGCTATATTGCTTAACAACATCAGCGGTCAGCAACAAAAGTATTTAAGTATCTGTTCTGGAATATTCGTTTAATGGAAGAAAATCCCAAATTATAACCTATTATACAAATATTTTATAAAAATGTCTAGTTTAACTTGTTTAGTTGCTGAAACAATGACTGAACAAAAAATTAATGTATGTTAAAAAGTACATTCTTTATATAGGACGTTCTAGTCAAAACCTTGTGCTTACTCCTATATGTCTATTATATGTACATAGGTAAAATTGAAGGATTCTCAATGAAATATTAAGATATTTTTTAAATATATTATATATATATAAGATCCTAATATTTACTTTATAATTTCCTTCAGGATTACCACCAACTTATGGTCCCTTTAGTCCTTGAATAATGTGTTTGACTCGCATTCCATTCTTATGGTGAGACTTCAAAGCAAAGGGGTGACCGGCACATTATCCTTGAAATTGGTGAGTAGCTCTTTACAAAACCAAATTTATTTCGAGGTACTAGCATTTATAACAACAAAGCTAAATAAGCTGCTTGCATTAACAAGCGATATAGTTATGCGAACGAAAGCCACTCTACCTTTAACGACGCTCGAGACGGTGCGCTGTCCCAACGTCCCACAATGCAATAACAACAAATTCTCCAGAAATGTTTACAGTGTGCTTGGAAAACTAATTTGCACTTCTCCTTCTAAGTAAACTAATCTGTACTTCTCCTTCTAAGTGCCTTGTCCATATTGAACGTTAGTTAAACAAATTGTATTAAATTATAACAAAATATTTAAAAAAAATTTACAGCCCTATAAAACAATAAGGGCCTATAAAACAAAAAGATCAATAAAACTTGTCAAACTGATTAAAATAAAAATTGTACAGCGTCTTCACTTGACTTCAATGCAAATATCATAACAAAGTTAATATACTGTTCTTAAACTATGTGGGAAGGGTATAACAAACGGCTTGAGTTAATTCTATACTTTTCTGTTATATACTTTTTCCGCATGTGGATAGAAGAGGTAAATGGCCTAGTTTTTATTATAATTTTACAATTGATTACGAGTTTGTAGGTCAACAAGTAGAGCACATGCACTAAAGTAGGCAGTTCTATTCCTATTTGTTGTTATGAAAATGTAACGTTATTTACTATTAAATATTTACAGGTCTATGAATTCAAGGTGTGTTGATTCTATTTTGTACTCAACTCGCATATTTACTTAAGAATATCTACTTATTGAGTGTTTCTTTGTGTACAATTAAATATCGACTCAAATCAAGGGTCGTTGCAAGATAAAGTTTACATTATAAATAATAAATGCGTTCTTATTTATTCAACAAAGAAATATGAACTCGGAAAAAACAATAAGAACATGTTTTATAAATATTTCAATTTTATAGATTTTAATGGGGCAAGAAATTAAACGTATCATATGTCAAAGAAATAAAATAAACAAAGGATGGAGTAATACAAATACGACAGGTGATATTTCTAATAATTGGAAGAAAACCAATTCTATTGATTATAATACAGAGAGAATATTTAGGTAATGCAAATGTTCTATATCGATTTATTTATGAGAAATCCATGTACAGTTTCTTATGACACCCTAACTAACAAAATAATAATTACTCAAATAAATCAAACTCTACTTTTTGCTGAATAGGTGCTATTATACTTTTTCTATAAAATTTTAATTATTTTTTCTCATTACACTTGTAAATAATTCCATAGAACACTGATAATGATTACTTGGAAATATTCAAAACAGTTGTATGATCAGACAAAAAAAAATCATCAGACCTGAAGACTTGAATTTTAATTGGCTCAATTTCTATCTGGGTATGGATAAACATCCTTGAAAACGCATGAATACGTGTACCGGTTCGAAATAGTAAATAATCTTGAGTGCCTTTTTTGCTTTATCTAATATTAGAGCCAACTTCACATAATAAGATAGTGTATAAGATCCATGGAACTTCTTCCATGATGACACAAATAACGGGAAGCAGTAAAGTGTGGAACATACCCTTATTATTACTAAAAGCATAAATTTTGTAAACTGAAGCTGTAGAATGCTCTGAAATGTAAGAAAAATCTCTTAAATATCTTAGCCAAAAACATGGAAATATATTTATATATTATAAGTATATACATATATTTCTTATGTGCTAACAATGTAGGGTCTTTTAATTCTCGGGTATGTATAAGTTAAGAAAGCATACATGAATTATGCATGCAGATAGCATGGAATAGAAAAGAATAGTGGTACTGGCTCTTGGGAAGCAGAACACTGCGAATATGATTGATCTTTTGTGTTAAAAAAACACACTCTGCCTTTCACATAAAAGCCAAAATTTTAGGTATTGAGGACATCCTAACTTCCTACTAAGATTGATCTAACAGTGTCCTCCTAACCGTGATCAAAACCGGACGGTCATAAAGAATTTGACAAGTTTTTTTCACCTGCTTCGAAGCAGAGATGAATTTCTGTCTCTACAGACAGACATGGGTATTACGATCTTCCGAGGATTTTTCTTTCAGGTTAGCTACTCTTTATCACTAACTAACAACTATATCACTTTGTGAAAGACTATTACAGAGATATTGTATTTTTATAAAAATTCATATTCTGTTTCTTTGCTTAGATCTTCATCAAAACTAGTTCTCATAAGTAACCTATTAATAAGTTATAGTAATAAGTACAAAATATTAACAAAAGAAAGTAAGATTCTACATAATAATTAAAAAAGAATATGTATATAATTTAATATTTAGAGTAAATCATGTACGAATAAAAAACTTTTACTACTTGATTGTTTTGAGTTCATATAGAAAGCTTTTAATTACGAATATATTAAAAAAAAATTATATAGGAAGTAAACTTCAGACCAATTTTTTATATACGAGTACATACATCTCTACGGAAGACTCGTTACAAGTTTCAACGAGTCTTCTAAATAATTTTTATAATTAAGCGTAGAATACAGTTAAGCTTATTTTGTATTTTGGCTTTAAAAACTCTTATTAAGTTAACCTACTCTTGAATCAAAAACCATGAAATGAGAAGTGGAATAAATATTTAAATTTTCATCATTTTTCAGTGTCAATGATTTTGCTATCAATGTTGTTGACCTAGATTTATTTTTTTTAAATGTTGATGGTATAAATATCTTCGATTAAACAGACTATAAATAAAAAAAATTGTTTATTTGATAAAATAAAAAACATTTACAATTAAGCACATCGAAATTGAAAGTGAATTTATTTTTAAAATAAATATTTAAGATAATAAATAAATGTCATTACATTATAGCGAATTTCACAAATTTCAAACCTATTTTAATCAATAAAATTAAATGAAATTAAAATTACTTTGGGAAAAATTACATTAAAAGTATTTAATAATTTAATTTAGAAATATAAATAAATGACTCAGTGATGTGAATAGGATTTTAAAGTTATAAAAAAAATATTACTTTTATGAAGTCAATGAATCATAATAGTTTTAATTAAGAAATCCAAAAACAGTCAACAATTTTACATTGAAAAAATGTAAATAAAGAAAAGCTACGGTATTTTATTGATGCACAGAACAAAAGCAAATGTTTATTTGGACTGAAAAAATATTAAAATAATAATAAATATCAAGATTGATAATAATAATCAGAAAAATTTATTGATTTTTTCAAGAGAGAACTGGGTTATTGGAGTGAGTATTTTTCTCGTCAATTATAAAAATGGACATATGTTTTGAATTGTGCGTCTCTTCAATTCTTCTGTGATTTTAGTTGTAATTTTTTTTTTTTCAATATATTTTTCTATATGAGATACAAAGTACTAAAGTTTATTTTTATTATTCTTTTATCAGTAACGCAACAGAGGTTTTCATTTAAGCTTCCAATTCTTTAACAAAGAAAAACTATTGATAAAAGCCGTACCAATTTCCGTTGGTACATTTTTTGTATGGTAGAGTACCATGTACCATTCTGAAACACTAATCAAATGATATACCATATAAGGTACATCTTATCAAAGTTTCTAAAAATCAACAAATAGTATAAAAATAAAAAGAATTTAAAAGAAATAAAGAGTTATCTATCTCTTGAATTTTAAATTGAATCAAAAAAGGCAAATACGTTGAATTAACTTGCAAACTTGAAAAGAACATAAATATTATATCAACTATATTATATATTATTAAGGAAGAGACTATATTTTAGCACAGAAAACCTCCCTAAAATGCCTAAGTTTCAGTGAACATGTTATGCAGTCATGGTTTAAATAATGGCCGGGTCTACATTCAGGCCCAGACATCTAAAACAACTATTTAACGCTGAAGTACAGATTACAGACTCTCTCAATTTGGTTGAGTAATTACCCTTTAATTTCATTTGAATTAACAGTAGACAGCAGTCAAAAACCGGTAGATACGCATTATAGCAGACACCACAGGGTAGATCAAGCCTAGCTCCATGCCGTCCTATAGTTCAGTAGTTTCAGTGAACATGTTATGCAGTCATTGTTCAAATAATGGCTGGGTCTACATTCAGGCCCAGACATCTAAAACAACTATTCAACGCTGAAGTACAAATTACAGACTCTCTCAATTTGGTTGAGTAATTACCCTTTAATTTCATTTGAATTAACAGTAGAAAGCCGTCGAAAGCCGGTAGACACGCATGTAGCAGACACCACAGGGTAGATCAAGCCTAGCTCCATGCCGTCCTATGGTCCAGTGCCCTGTATTAACCTAGATACATCTTATTTGCTTCTGTGTATTAGGTCGGTCAGAGGTTCTACATTTGAAATTGATTGGCCATGTAGTCCTTGACCTGACTGCAAAGGTGGCACTGGGACACTCACTATTTGTCTGTAGCAAAAAATGTTCATAGATCAACCTCCAACTGTAGCTGGCAGGGATTAAAATAGGGGTATCCCAGTCTAGCAAGCTCGTCTGCGCGCTCATTTCCTACAATATTGAAATGCTCAGTCACCTAAGCTAGTGTTACCTTGGACCACTCAGTGCATTAATAAATTCCTTACATTCTTGCACTAATCTGGATGAAATACAGACCGCTGATAAGGCTTTAATAGGTACCTGACTGTGAGTTAGAATATAGGCTTTCTTTTCGTGAAAGTCCATGTTTATACTTAGAATCGCCTAAGCTGTATTGTGTAGTTAACGAAACTTTACTATTGTATTGTAGCACCACATTTCACATACTTTTCGTAAGAGTAACATAAGTAGTTATTTAGGCCGTGTGCGAGTTCAAGTAAATTGAGGTAAAGTAAATGGATATTTCCTAGGAATTTTTAGCACTGTACTTATGTAAATATTTATTTATTTAAATATTGCACTTATTTATTATTTTTGGTTAAAAGTTTTCAAATTAATTTACTTTTTTATTAAACATCTTATGAAATGTTCACATTGGTAATACCTAATTTACCTAATTTTTATATAATTCACACTACTGAAATTCTGGTAAATACCAACATTCGCTGCCATACCGACATAATTTACTAGTTCCCGCAATTTACCATCAATTTACTCGAACTCGCACACGGTCTGGAACAATTTAAGTACAATAATAATAGAGACCTTATGGGTGGCCTTGCAATGTAGAATTTTTGAACTTTACTTTAAAATCAAAGTCTACCAAGTCGCTTAGCTGTTGTTTTAAACTAAAGCTGAAATAATATAAGTAACTAAATAAGTAAAATATAGTAATATATTAATGAAAATAACTGGTTACACGTAAGCAGGTAAATAAATACTTGATTTATAACCTTTACAGAAATTTGAAAAAGTCCACAAAAATTATTTTTACTATAATATGGAAATATATAGCGAAATATATATGCAATATAGACAATAGCATACAGACGATGACGTAGATATAGTTTTAGTAATATTAATTTATGTTAGATCGTGATGCTGTTGATGACTCTCAAGGAGAGTCGAAATATAGAATATATAATAAAAAATATTAGACGTTGAATTATTTAACAATAAGTGACCTATAGCCGGATTAAAAAATATATAAAAACCATTATAAAAAAAAACAGGTCAATAAATAAATTCAAAATATTCTCTAAATATTTAAATGCTTCAGATTTCATGTGTGAATCCTTCATAAAAAAAATTAAACTAGAACACAAAAAAAAAACTCGCTGAACACGTTATAGTGGAGAAATTAAAGAAATGCTTTACAATTTTATATAAATATAAATTATTTCAATATATACATATATTAATAAATTAATTTATGTTATATATGTATATTTTTGTCAATTAAATTTGGGAAGGATTATTCAATTAGTAAACAATGAAGTGTAAAAATAATTTGCTAACACGCAATATATTTTCTGCTACTATCTTTATTTGCACTTTCATTCTAAACTTATTTTATGCATTGCAGACACATCTCCTCTTCAGCTCACCACCCAAACCCAGCCATGGTAACATGTAGTGGACACGACAATTCGGGGAAGCGCAACGCAGCAGTAAGCGAAGAATGCTTTCTTTGCCCAAAGTTTAACGTGCGGGCCAAACAAATGTCAGATGACGTTTATTAATTTTTGACATTTCTTTTAATTTTATTTTCTCGGTGCAAAAGTGAAAAGAGAACTAATTAAAAAATTGCAATATCACCTAATTATCAGTAAAATGTTAAACTTTTGCTAAATTTAGTACTTAAAAATGTTATTAAAACACACACGACAGATGAATCTTGTCTACACTGCAGACTCTTAGGAATTTATTGTATTTTTAAGCACACATAAATGTTTAATTTTAAGCTATATTATAATTTTTTTTTTTTTTAAATTATAATTACCTGCAAACAATAATTAAATTTTGTTCCTTCACTTTATTTTTATAGGCTATTTTAATTTTTTAATATATGCCTATTCCATTAGCAACAATGAATATAATGGGAGAGAAGTTAGCTGGCCAGCACCCAGTTAATTTTTTTTTTTTTTAATTTTTCGTTTCACTTTTCTTTATATTGCACTTATGTCTGTATAATTTTGTTTGAATATTATTTAATATTTGAAATTTCTTAAATTCTTTTATCAATTTTGCACTTTAATCTTTATTTCACATTTCTTTGTTGATTTTACACATCTTCGAAATGACTTCGCACACACGAATATACAAACTTATTTAATTAATTTATTAATATTGATTAATATCAATATTTATAATTGTTAATAATTTTATATAATTTATCTTAACGCAATTCTACACAATTATTCCAACAGCACAAGACTTTGCAACGCCAATAATCAGCAATCGGACTTTTCACGTACTGAATGAAAAATGACGCAAAATGGAAGAGAAAATTTGACGTGGTGATTTGACACAGGGTAACATTGAAATGCTTATTCTAATTTCATATTAAAATTATTACATATAATAGTCAATTTTATTTTATTAGTGTATAATGTAATTACAAAGATTAAAATAAAAAAATAAAAATAACTCATAAAAAACTATTTTCTTTTGTAGCAAATTTTATTTATTATGAAAACAAATTTACATGCTTGTGGCGCCATCTAGTGGAGAGTAGCAAGCTAAATTTTTTATGTAGTTCAAAAAACATTTTGACAGTTTTAAATATCAAATATTTGAATTATGAATCTATAAGAAAAAGCTTAAAAATAATAATATGAAACACAGTAATAAGTAAATGTTTAAATTATATTACGTGGTACTAAAACAAAATACTACTAATATTAAAAAGTAAAAGTAAAGTACTATTAAATGTTAAATATAATATTAAATATCTGTTAATAAAATATATTACATAAGTTAACAAGAGGTTTTTTCAAACAGTAATGAAATACAACAACAAAAATTTTATTTTTTATATTATTTTAATTAATTAATTTTCGACTGACCATATAGCTTTTTCGAGTATTGCCAAATACCCATTATCAGTGGTCTTGGAAATAATTCTTGTATTTAATTATTCGTAAATAATTATTTTTGAGACTGCAAGTACCAGGAATCGAACTCGGGTTCTGTCAAATGTGAAGCTCAGAATCAGCGCACCTTAATCGCATATTTTTTCGCACATATTTAAGTTAACAACTTATTATATAAAAATATAAATTTAAAAACACGACCTAAAGCTCGACGAAATTTATAACATATAATATTAAATAATAATATTAATATATTTATTGTAATCGAATGGCCAATATCATGTTAAGTGCAGAGTTATATTCGAGCATTCATGTGCGGTTGACATGTGTAAAGCAATTTAGGAAATATATAGTGTATGATATCACCAACATCTAATTTTTTTCTCAATTTAAATGTTTTACTATGATTTTTATTAAAAAGAATGTGAATGGTATGAAAATGAGTTCAATATGTGGACTCCGTATACAACAGACAGAGTTATATGCCATAGTATAAACTGCAATAGAACTGGCACCAGAATGTAAATAACCTATAAAAAATTAATATTAATAAATCCAATACTTTCCATAATCAATTGATATTAACCTCCTAACTCAAAATCTATCAACGGCGTTAATCTACGATTATTTTTGTAGTAACACATGGAAATCTAACAAGCTCCCAAAAAAAAATTATACCAGCAGATATGTACGTGTTTCCTTAATCTACGGTTGGTACAAACAGTTCTACAATCCACTGTTTTTCTATTATATACGATATATGAAGTTAAAGTTAAATTTTTGTATTTCATTATGTACAGATCAATACAAAAAAATATTGCCATTAATACTATTTGGTTACAAAAAATCAAAGAAAATGTATCATAATGCAGCAGAAGCACTATGATCTATATTCTCCATTCTCAATTAATTCCTCCCTATCCTGTCACATACTAACCCATGTATTCGTCTTATAAATCCTTGCATGTTATCTGCTTTCTTGATCCCAGCGAGTTACAATAATAACATTATATGTAGACAGAAAAGAGATTAACAGAATAAAAGAATAAAAGGGGATACTAACAAATTATTTAAAGAACTTATATCAATAATCTTTAATTCATATAATAGCATAATTTAAATAAATATATTTTGCCATAACCTAATTGGTTTCTCTGTTCTTGAAGCCTATTCGGTTTGAATTCATTTCGAAAAGTTATTATAATCATTAAAGACTAGAATGCACTACAATTAAAATAGATCTATAGTTACCTAGTCATACTAGACCTATGGTAATAAACCAACAAAAATTTTAAGGGATCCTTAGTTATTAAGAAAACATGTTATGAGATTATAAGAATGAAATACCTAAATTGGCATCTTATATTGGATGAAAAAATAAAACTCGGTAAATTAGATTCAGTATAGCAAATTTATCGAGAAAGTCGAACTCGGAAAAATACTCTGGACCTATAAAAATCTCACAACTAAAAAAGTAAAAATGATATTTATTGACGATAAACAAACGAACTGACGTCTGAACACAGCCATTCTTGGGTGTAGGAAATAAAATCTTCAAATCTACATCTATGGAATATTTTTATAATAATTAATAAAATTAAATTTTAACTTTTTCACTATATTGTTTTTTTTTGTTTTGTTTTGTTTTTTATTATAATTATTTTAAAAATTTCATTAACTTGTGACTTTCACATTAAGTTGATTTCTTAATTAAAAATTTTTCAAATTGTATTTGAATTATTATTTAAAATTAATGTATATAATTAATTTCATATGTATATATGTATATATAAATGCTATTTTAAATATATTTCTTAATAAATATTTAATAATAAAATTGTTCAAATTATAAAAAAAAATTTATATTCATAAAATTCTACGATTTTAAAATTGAATTTGAAAATTTTATTTTCATAGAACTTTAAATACATATTCTTTTAAAGTTTCTTTTTTTTATATATATATTGCTGATTGTTATTTAATTTCAGATTTGTTTAATAATCTTACAAATATAAAATGTTTAATAAGTTCAACGAAAAAATATTGTTGCGTTAGTAAAATTATGTGCTTTTATTTGTGCTTATGTTTTAATTAATAAAATAATTAAATGTTTTAAATATGTGTCTTCACGTGCGTTTATATATATTTGATCATTTGTAAAAATTATTAATTAAATGCTACATTTTTATTAATATTAAATAATGAAATATTTTTTATTAACTATAAAGAAGTGCAATTGAGTTAGTAGTTACTTTTAGAGAAAAAAAGAATCATACTATGAAATATGAAAAAAAAAATTATTGAAAATGTTTTAAATACTATTTTAAACTAATATATTAAACAAAAATAATTATAGTTTCAAAATAAATTAATTATTTAATACACAAATTTTTTTTATACAGTTTGGATTCTGGACTAATTTTAAATTTAGCAATAAAAATATTTATATTATTTTTTTCGGATTCTATATCAAATATGTATCAATATATTATATAAAAATAATTGTAGTTTCAAAATAAATAAATTATTTAATACACAAATAAAGAATCCAAACACTGTTTGGAGTCTGGACTAATTATAAATTTAACACTGAAAATATTTATCTTATTTTTTTTTCTTTGGATTCTATATTAATTATGTATCAATAACTGAAAGCATTTATACATATTTTTATTTTTCAAATTTTCTCTCTTGCACCTCCTTATACTTATAAAAAAATTTAAGTAAATAAATTATAAAAAATCTAAAAAATTAATATTTATCCAGACTATTATTCAATTATATGAAGCATCGTTAAAAAAACAGAAAGATAATAATAAATTTTAAAGAATTGTTTTGTATAGGAAATTTATATAACTTAAGCACACGTAATTTTACACAAAATATAAAAAATAGTTTATTTGTTAATAAAATATATTGAATAAATCGAAAGTACTTAAATTAATTTTTGGGTTGGCTTTTATAACCTAACCTGGGCTTAAATTTTTAGTAACTCATATTGTTCACAATGTTTATAAATAATTTATTTATATATATATAAAAAAACAATTTACAAATATTTAACATTTTGTTAAAAATGTAGCACATTATTTCATTCATATTTTTGTTCTATAAACTTATATACTAAAAAGTCTAACGCTTAATCGTTGTTCTAAGATGGAATCTACTGCAATTACTATCCTAATAATATTGACAAGGTTTTAAAATTAGTAAAAAAAAATGTAAAAAGTATATAAAATACAGGATAAATGTAAAACACGTCACAACACTAAACAAACACATAAATGCAACAAATATGTCAATGTAAAAATTATTTTTAATATTTTAATCAAATTACTTATAAACAAAAAAAAATGTTATTCTGTTAAATAAATAAATGAAATGTAAATCTAACAAATTTAACAATTTTTAAAATTTTAAATATTTCTTATGTTCTTGATATTTTCCCTAAACCTTTTTTACACATTTTCGACAAATCTAAACTTATAATTTTGAAAAGTACTTCTTATTTTACAAATCTGCAGGTGAATTTATATTGCATTCTTAGCATTAACAATGTGCAAAATTTTATTTGCAATAATATTACTAACGATTTCCATAACTTTTGCTTTTTTTCTTTTGCTCAAACTTTCACAACACATCAACTTATTCTTAAAGTGTGCAATATTCTACTAATATCGGTATCGATTTTAATAGCTCATTTATATTATGCTGCTCCAGATGCACCACTAACTTCTCGGATGATTTTAACAAATTTGTAAAGTTCTGTAAATTTTCTACAATTTCTTTTGTCATTGTATCTGAGGATTTCTTTATTAATTCTGATAATTTCTTTCCAACTTCATATTTTACAAATGCGTCTTGTAGATTAACTGCATCTTCTGCAGACGCTGCAGCATTATTTAAATAAACCACACATAAAATACATAAGGCAATCAATGCTTCATTTTGCATTACTAAGTGCTGTGATGTTAACATGCCAACCATTGCTTCAATCGAACCATCGATCGCAATAAACTCTTTTAAACTACTACGATCATAGTCTAGCGGTGGAAGCTTCTCTGCTAGTTGCTCCGTAGGCACATCACCTTTACGTGGCAGTATGTAAGCGATTTTTGTTAAATATGCATGTTTAATTAGCCACGCCATTAAACGCAGTGATTCACCAGTTACGCCTGCGTAATCAGAAGATTTACTCCAATGGACCAATTGTTCAATAAGAGTTTTATTTTTCAACAGCTCCAAAGCAAGTTTTTCTAGAATAGAAAAAAAAAACGTTAGTGTTATGGAATTCAAATAAATTCATATATTATATTCAATATAAAAAATGCTTAAATATTATGGGTTCTAAAATAAGTCAATATATATCAGAACCCAATTCAAGCAGTTATTCAAAGAAGAATTCAATATACTTCACCATATGTCGATATAGCTTACTTCTTGCAAGTTCAAGTTTTAAAGTTGTTAACTTTTTACATTGGTTACACTAACAAGAACTATTCACTCCATCTATTTAATAAATATATGAAACTAGTATATGCAATTCTTGCATTCATTATAAAAACAACTTGAAAAGATTACTGATAAATATCTTCTCTATCGAGTTCGGAACCCAAAAACTAACATTAGATAATTATTAGATAGATAATAATTAAATAATAATTTTTATGCAATTGAAAGCTCCATACTTTTGAATCTTCTATGGGACAAGAAAGTGAATAACAAAAAAATCATAATCCAACTACCCATCTCTAATCCACCCCCATTCCCTACCCTTACTCAGCCATTATCCATCCACATCTTAACCCATGTACTCGTCATGTAATTCCTTTCATGTTATCTGCTTCCGAGATCGCTGCAACTTTTATCATATCAAGATACACAAATACACAACACCAATTTTTTACCTATACTGTGTGTGTATACATCATAGCGACCTCTGATTTACTCTTTTCCGTAAAGTGAAATAATATAAATGAGTGTTCCACTAACCTTGTCCATCTACTGTCATTCGTAATGTACCCAGTAGTTTGAAGACTACAGGTGGTTGATGAATTTCCAACATAGGCAAAATAGTCTGAACAAGTCCAGCTTGTATAACGGCTCCTTTATTTGGCTTCGGTATAACTAAATTACGTAAAGCACTCAACAAGGCATGTTGGAGGCGCACATCATCTTTCACGCCATTATTCTTCGACAGAACTTCCAACAATTTATTCATTATTTTATTCTCTACCATATATATGCAATGACTATCTGTACGTGCGAAATTTCCCAAAGCCAATACACCTGTTGTTAGCAAATCAATATCACTGGAGTCCAACCAATCTTCCATATTTTTAAGTAAAGTTGTTGAGTAAAGAAAATGCATTGACTCATCTAAAAATAAAAATTTATTAAATGAAATCAAATTAAACAATTTTAAAGACAATTACCGCCAGTGAGTATAAGTACAATTAATTCACAAGCCAGTTTCATAAGAGCACGGGCTTCATTGGTACTTGCAAGCGTTTTATATTTCTCCAAGAGATTGTAAATAGTCTCACAAAGACCGTCCTTTGCAAGCAATAATTTCACATCATCATTTTCCGCCTGATAATGCAAAAGTTCAAGGCACATTTCAGCTAAATCTGGATTTTTAGAAGCAGCTAAGATTCGCGATAATTGAATATTGAGATTCGCATCAAAATTCAAATCGGCAACATTTTCAGTGAGTATGCTTAGCAGTGGCAATGTATTTAATAATAAATCTTCATGCTCCTCCACATTAGACACACCAATTGTTATAATATTTTGCAATTTTTCCATTATTTTAAGCTCCATAGCACGTTTGGCCAAACCCTCGCCGCCAAGTAGATAATTTGATAATAGACCTCCACGTACTTTTATGAATTGTAACGCATTTTCTTTATCAGTTACATTTGTGATGTCCAAGAGTTTCAATAATACCTCATCGCCTTTAAGTGCCAATATAATATCTCTTGCCTCATCGTTCAAATAACATATATTACCCAGAGCGCGACAAATTTGTATGGGTAATTCCATATTATCGGCATCTGGTAAATTCTTTAGGCAATTTATGAACTCTTCTATAACTTCGCGTGTCGTAAACTTCTTACGTTGCACTTCAGACTTTGTTATCTCGGCAATACATTTGGCAGCCTCTTTCCGAATATTTTTATCATCAGATTTTGCGAGTCTGAGGAAGAATTCAGCAAGTTCATGTTTATCGAAGAGTTTTGGATCTTTTGTGGCAGATATTTCGCTTAATATTGTTGTGGTTGTGTCTGCGGTGTTGGTGGGACTCACGGAGGTGGTTTTTAATTTTTCTATAAGGTCATCAATTTCGTCTAAAGGAAACAAGAAAATTTGATATCAATTAGAATTTAATATATAACATAAGTTGTAAATACTTGAAATTATATATATATTATAACAAAAAGAAGAAGCATATAGGGTTTCTCAGAGTAATCACTAACCGCACGGAACAGTACGCAGATCTTAGATCAATCATTGAATAAACACGATACTTATCTGCAGAAACTCCCTAGCTATGAAAGCTCTCAACATTAGACTGATTCTTATTTTATATGAATACTTACAAAAGTATCTATTGTCTGAAAAGATTTAAAATAGTAACCAACTTTATCAGTAGCATTAAGCATTTATCAAAAAGCATTAAGCCTCCTAATGAGGAGTTTTCAGTTATATAGAAAATCAGAAATTCTTACTCCATTGTACTTCTCTAACCCAGATCAACAACAGTTCTAGACGGGGATAATATTCTATCATATAAAAGTAACCAAATCAGCATGTTTAATTATAGTCTTTATACCGCGGAAAGATTAACAAAACTATTTTCAGTTATATGTTTTACAAATATCACTGCACCTGAAAACCAGACGATTGACATTCTTCTGAAGGGTGCTGATTTTTGTACATATGTTCCACAAAACTGAGAATCATAGGATTAACATTCTTCTGAGGACTACTGATTTTTGTGCATATGTTCCACAAATATCACTGCACCTGAGAACCAGCGAATGGACATTATTCTGAGGGTTGCTGATTTTTGCACATATGTCTATGTATCCGACATATGTACACTTCAAAAACATAAAAAAATATAATAGGAGCCACATTTCTCCAAAAATTGGTGTTCTACTTAAGTCCTATTTCATTTCTGACTGCTTATATTTATCAGTGGCTTGAAATTTTCAACTATTTAAGTATTATTAATTATTTTACTTATTTTTAATTTCATTATTAAAATTATTTAATATTAAACACATATTTTATTTAAAATCAATATAGCATGTTGATATATAAAAATGTGATTTTATGTGGTGTAATTGTAATAAAATTGTAATATTGTAATAACAAGTAAAGTAAGTTATTGTCTAACCTGGTTACAAAAGTTATGCTGGTACCTCTGAGCTCATGGTACCTGAAAACGTGTGCTCTCTAGTTTATTTGTGCATGTCACTTTTCATTCCAAATAAATGTCCTCAATACTCAATGTAATAAAAACTTGATATTCACAATGTTTAGAAAAGAAGAACAAAAATAGAAATTTCATTAAAACTAAAAAGGATAATTTGAATTTGTATTCAGTTTAATAGATTTTTGTTTTTAAAAACTTTTTTCATTAAAAAAAAAATTATACAACTACTAAAAGTTGACAACTTGTGACTTCTAACATCGCTTTAAATTAGTAAAATTTTTCACATGGAATAATCTTTTTTAGTATCTTAAATACTCTACCAAACAGATAGATATATAATTGACAGAACCCGGAAATATTGACAGAAATGAATATTGCAGGGACTGAAAATTTAGACAATGACCTGCAATCAGTCTAAAATGTTAGCAGTGGATATTGAGGTAACATTTGAAAAACTTTCTATATAACTCTTGTGGGATAAGAAAGAATGTTGAGCCTTTGAAATAGTTCAAAAAGTTACTAAAAAAACACCTTCGGAACCTGAAATTTTTGAAAATAGTATATATATTTAGACAACTAAAGAAAAGAGAAAAGAGAAAGAAAAAAGCATGTTATTCTTGCTCTTTCTCTCCATTTTAATATAAACTTTCAAACAACTAATCCGCTTTTTTCGGAAGCTTAAAAGACTGGTCTTTGATCTATACGGTAGTATCAATATAACTAAATATTAAGCCCACTTTTCAATGCTATGTTAATTTATATGTATATCTATATATATAAGTCTAATTAAATATGTAATTCTCTAGAAATTATGTATAATAATATTAATATTATTTCATATATTAGAAATTTTAAAATTTGAAAGTATTAAGTACAATTTATACCGTCAAATTTTATCTCATAATCTCAACTTGAAATTATTCTCAAATTCTGAGTTATTTATTTTAATAAAGAGTATCTAAAAAAAGGCTTATAATTGATTTTCTTTTTATATACTCTTAATATATTAATATATATATAAAATATATTAATATATATATATAAAATATATAAATATATATATAAAATATATTAATATATATATATATATAAAATATATTAATATATATATAAAATATATTAATATATATATAATATATATTAATATATATATAATATATATTAATATTCATTATAATTGCATTAAAATTACTCTGTGCTCCGATTTAAGATCCAAATTTTTAATTATTATATGAAATATCATTCGAATTTAGTACAACATAATATGATATGAGAAGTGTTCCTTTTTCCAAATGGAAAAAAAATTATTTCAAAAGCGACTAAAACGAGGCCACAGGCTGTTTGAAGAGCGCGGAGGAGTGGGTGCTATTCGTATCAACCACTACAACTTCCTTATATTGCATCCATCAGCAATAAAACGTGAAAAAACTTTGTCTGCTTTAGTAGCAAAAGTCAATTCAGAGCTCCATTGCATTCAGAGCTGCTCTAAAATGTTTGCATTCGTATATGGAAAAGTGCATTTCCAATTGTATGTCTGTTTGATTGTACGTGGGGCGGTTAGTTGTTAGTAATTTTCTACCAACGTCAATGTAGTCGCTCCATTATGTCCCATTTTGTAGATTTATTTTTACTTCTCTGTTTTTAATTTCCTGAAAAAATGAGGAAAAAACGTTTAAATTTTTCTCCTTTTTTTCAGAAGCTTTTACATAGATTTTTATTTGTTTTTCTATTCCTATGCACAGCACAACCCTTTTGTTAGATTGCTGATTGCTGGTAGCTGGATTACAGGATATCAAGGAGTGTTGCAGAATAGGAGTGTTAGTTGCTTTGTTAAATTGGTTTTTCCCTTCAACCATATAGAAATCTATACTTGTCCTTGGTAGTTATAAAAGTGTCATTATTGTTTTTAAATACAAATCCATTTGTAGATGCAAAATCAACTCATCAACTCTTTTTTAATAACACTCAATCTGTATTGTGACGCCAAACTATGTTTTTATATAGTAAACATAAGTGAAAAAGTTTTTAAAACTTTTCTCAAATTCTATTGTTAAGGCAATTTGCTTGAAAAACTTTTCAACAGTTGACATCAAGCTGATAAACTGAAGTTAAACTCATCTTTATGAGAAACTTTTTAAAGCTTTTATGAATAGACAACTTTTTTGAAAACATATTACCTTTAAATAAGTTTTGTACTATAAGTTAAATGCTATAAATATAAATATGTGTTAATATTTATTAATAAACACAAACGCATATAAACGTAACATATTGTAATAGATAGGATATTAAATTTCAATAAATAAAAAATAATATTAAATATTAAAATTAATTTAATATATCCCCTCCCTCCTCTACATAGTCTTCTTCCACCGAAAACATGCCTAAGCTTTCTGGCTTAGATAAACCTAGACCTTTAGGTATTAAGTCTCTTGATCTCATCTCTCCTCTTAATTATTGAAATGAAATTTCCAGATATTACGTTGAAAATGGCTTCCTCATTTATTATCCATCTTCTTCTTCTCTCCATTCTTTCTAAACTTTCTTCATTCATTTATAAAAAAGAGGATTTAGTGGGTTAAAGTTTCAAAAAAAATGTAACTTTAGAACAGAGGTACTAGTGCTTTACTTTTCTACTTAAAAAGTCCATTGATGAATGGCTATATCTCATCTAACATCAAACATATTTTTATTAATATTACATTAAATAGAACAAACTTTATAACATATAATCATAACAAGCATCATTTCATTGTACTTAATAACATACTTTTAATACTGACTTATATTTAGTACAAGATTACATGAACAAACAACTTACTATAGAATAGACTAAGAATAGAGTCCAACATTTGTAGTCCATAATAAATTTATAAGATATTTATGGATACCTTTGACCTTGGGAGGCTGGCTAAGCAGCGTCATTAAATAGCTGACTAAGCGGCGAAAACTCTTGCATACTGTCCTTGCTTCAACTTTCTAACTTCTGAAAGTTTAGACCTTCGTAACATGATAAATCTTGTTATGAACAATACGAAGATGCAAAACTGACAGGTCTTCCAAAGTTTCTTCAAAGCGTCAAAAACTCTTCCCATCGTCTAGTTCGATTTGACTAACATTGAATCCAAATTACTAGGAATGTCTGAATCTTATTTACAATATTCCTTTCTCGACATCTCCAATATTTAATCTAGCCTTAATGTACATATACCATAACGTGTTCATAGCACCGTTATTTTTATTAGTTTACTTGTTTTATTAAAGCTTCTGTACTTAATGCGATAAAATTAAAAAAGTATCTATATTATGGATACCAGAGCACTCAGTTTTTCACGGAATTAATGGGAAAAGCTAAAGAAACTCCATTTTTTCAAATTAGAACTATTTTGTAAGATAGTCACAAAGATGTGATTATAATTAACAAAGTAAGGAACAAAAGTAATATCTCTAGTATGTCATACAGGAGTGTAAACCAGGTTCAAGATAATCTCGTGTTTTCATTCAGAATACGAAATTATATTCAACGTTGGATGCAGAAAGTAGACTAAATGTACTGGTTCTACATCAAAAAAGAGGTCCTAACTCATAACATAAAACAAATACATACAAGTATTCTATTCTCTTATGTAGTTGATATTTAGTAAATTTACTGAAACCATGCTTACGATTTGAGTTTTCAAGTGGGTATAAGAAACCTACATTTCTGAGTAGTATCACCAAGACCCTAGGGATATATGCGTTTACATAGAAGTCAGTGCCAAAAATATCAATATGATAGTAGAGAATACTTTCAGTAAATATTGCAAACGTCATACTCATGCTCATATACCACTTAATAAGAATCTGTTAAGAGTTTTTAGGTTTTCCAAGTTAAGAAAATATATATAGGTTTATCGAGAATAATATATTATCGACTTTTTCAAAATAAGCAGTAAAGTATATATATATTTATTTTAAATATATATAATGAGATATCTTGAATAGAAGTACTCAATAGAACTATGTTACAAAGGACAATAGACTAGTTTTCTTTAAAAGAATAGAGTGCGATACGGATAAACAATATATTGTATAATATAAAAAATATATATACATAATGCATTACTATGACTATTAAGCGGTGTTATCTTATCTTACTTGATTATTTTTTTGCTTAAATCGAATATTTTGATTAACACCTAATGAAACTACTGAGGACATAGACCAACACTAAAAACTTGCAACATTTCTTTAAGGGAATAAGCTTAGATATGGTAATATAAGTGTACTGGTAAGCTATCCAAATTATGTTATATCTTGATATATTGTAAGAAGTACTTTAGCACATCTAAAGTCTTCCAAAATACAGACAGATGCATCTTCGATGTTTATTTAAGACATCTAATTTAAAACAAGAAAGCTTTGTGTATATCAAAATTTATAATTTTACTACCTTCTGCTCAAAAAGTATTCGGATTTTGTTGTTTGTTAACTAGTCCTTAAGTAATAGACCTTTTTCAAACCCTTTCTTGACATATCGTAAAAATTTAAGCGCCATCCGTCAATTAGTTTGTTTACAGCAGTTGTTAATGTGAGACTACCTCAAGTACATTTAGAGATTTTTACTATGGAAAATTCTTGTTGTACGCGATTTTTTAACCAAACAAGGCACCACTGTCATCGCTCAGGCACCATATTCGCCAGATCTGGATCCGTGCGACTTTTCCTGTTCCCGAAACTCAAATTGCCCCTTCGTGGTAAGCGTTTTGAATCGATTGAATCGGTAAAAGAGAATTCGCCGAAGGAACTAAAAGCCATACCTGCACGGGCCTACGAAAAGTGTATGGAAGAATGGGTTAAGTATTGGTATATGTGTATCGCTTCAGAAGGAGCATATTTTTAAGGAGATAAAATAAATTTGGAATAAAATTTAAATTTGTGTGTTTTATTTACAAAATCTGAGTACTTTTTGAGCACAAAGTATATAATTAAATAAAATCCGTGATATTGTAGGGTTTAAATCCTATTACGGCATTTATTATTTTGGGACCCTAAATTCAATTTAAGCTCCAAAATATTTTAGACCATTTTACACTATTAATTCTTAGGAACTCCTGTTAAAATGAATCTCTGCAATCGTCTCTGTATGAAATTGATATTGATTTTGATATACTCGTAGTTCGTCTTCTCATCAGTAAAAATAAAAAGGAAAAAATTTAAATAAATATGAAAACTCAAATTACACTAATCAGCATATTTTTTAATAAACATTTATTGAAATACAAAATATTTTATTTTTTATTGCTTTTTATTATACAACCTTTTATGGTGTGATATTTACACAAAATTGCTTTAAATAAAATAAAGACTGTTTAGCTGAAAAACTGAAAGAAAAAAAATAATAATAATAAAAAGGAAATTTTTGTAGCCTCAGCATTGGCATTATATTTGTTATTGCCGACATTTATTTAATGTCTTTTATGGCTCATGCTGCACTTAGGTCAGAAGTCCCAATTCGAGTTTCTGAAGTCTTTCACAGGATGGCAATTGAAGTACTTTAGCATTTGCCAGCTGAGCGCTGTTTCCGAACTTTTTAGCGCGCAATATTAGTGATTCACCTGCATTCATTATCCATCCACGACATCCAAATGTAAGCATGAGAAAAATGTAAGAGGAAAAAAAATTGTTTATAGCTTGTGTGGTTTCTGAATGTGAAAGATACTCGTATTTCATTTGTCAGTGTCAGTGTTAACTTACGGAAGCTATGCTCACTTCTGCAGCTGTACTTCATCGTGTCTATATAATGCTTTTCAATATTTTGCTCTAGATTTTTTACTGATCCTTTGAAATCCTTTTCAAATGTTTTTGTGACATAATATGGTATAGAATAAATTTCTGTTTTACGTTGTACACAATATTTTCTGGAAAATATTTGCATATTATTGAAAAATATTTTAAACCAAATGCAAGCTAATGTAATGTAGGTATATTCTGCGTTCAAACAACATATGAAGCGATATTAACCAAGAGAAGACTAGAAGCGACTGTGACATCGAAGACTGGGTGGTGCATCACCACTCTCGTGCTAAATGATAATGAAACGATATGAGAACATTGTATCATATTTTATATGAACATTGTAATAATCTGGTAAAATAGTGCATAAATATAACACAAAAGTGCTGCAATAGTAGCACTATTTAATAAGAAGTACCTAACAAGTACCTATATAAGAACTCAGATACGATTTAGTGAATAATATCAAAATGTATTGATTTTAATATAAGTATGTCATGTTATCGGCATTTTTAAGTGGAGAAATAGAAAATAGATTAATATAAGCTCATCCAACATAAATATAATACATTATGTATTTACACTTACGGACCTATTCTATGCACTTTATAAATTTGTCAAACATTGACACTTGTCAAAATTGACTGTTGTAAGTGTTTTGGTATTTTGTGACATAAATAAAAAGCTCTTTTCCTTGTTAGTTGTCAATACTACAAATGCTGTTGACACCTATAAAAATATGCTCTTTTTAAGCATTTTTTATTTTTTGCATGCATGACAAATATTCTTAACTGAAATATACGCTCTTTACAAGCATAAAATATGCTTGTTATTTGAATGCATGAAAAATGCTTTTGGTAACTTAAAATATGTGCTCTTTACAAGCATTTTTTATGAACAGTTACGAACAGTTACGAACAATTACGAACAGTTTTCTATACAAAACACTTTACACCATAGTGTGGTGAGAAGCACTAGGTACTTGAGCTTTGAAATTTGTCAAGATGTGTCCAGAACACCAAAAAGCTTTCTGCTTTATAAAAATCAAAAATTTTATTAAAGAATTTGACAAATCTGTCAAGTGCACAGAATAGGTCCGTTATTGTGAATAAATTATTATAAAACATTTTATATTTTACAATAATTTTTGAGTACCTGGAGACAGAGACCTGGCAGATCAGTTGTCTATGGTACTCTGCTTTCTGACATTCATTATTGGTATCTCACGTGCAGTGGTCAAGCTGACAATTAAACAAAAACATCTGAGTATACCTAAAACATATTTGGGTCTATAAAAAGTCCTGTCATATCTCAAGGAATGGAAGGATGAGGAGGAAACTGTATTGCACATTATGTATTAATGTCCATCATTGACTAAGAGAGAATTCAAAATATTAGGGGTTTCTTTTCTTGTCGAGCTGACTCAGCTATCATCCTGTATAATTATGGATTTGGTCAAATTTATAGATGTATCAGTCTATAAATTATATATTAAAATAACGAAAAGTATATATTAGAAATGTCACGCCACCTATTAATTTTCCTACTAAACTGATATCATATTAGTTATGAAGTAGGTGTGTAACGGATGTCAGGTTGGGGATAACGAAATTTCAGGATAATATAATATAGATTTAAAAAACGATATTGATATGAATGAGAATGTCAGATTTCGTGATGATAATTCATATCCATTTTTATTTAGTATACCTCTTTATTTCACCCACGCATACAGTCAATGCTCAACTTAGACATATCTATCTCATAATTTCACATGTTATCTGAACGCACATGCCGGAAAACGAAATAGACTAATAGTTAAAATATAACGTTTGATCAAATATGGAAGAAAAGTTGCAAAACTTACCTGGAAGCCTTTAAACTATAAACACTTCCATTGGTGAAAGATAAGAACGCTAGAACTATGGCAAATATAAATGCTATAACTATGCCCATAGTGAGTAATTGTGCATCCGTAAATATTGTATGTTGATGACGCAAATTATAGAAGCGCCTATGTTCAAAACTGTAAGAATTAAAGGGAGTGTACGTATCTTCCTTGTTTGATTTTGGATTTTCATTTTTTGTATGTCTGTTGTTGTAATGTCTGTTTTCATAGAATTCTATTTTCCGTTGTTCTAAATCTAATTGGCGATTATAATCGTAACGTTTTGATTCATCTGTTAAGATTTCAGCAGATTTTGTCACAATTCTGAAGGCTTCACTTGCGTCTTTAGCATTATTTTTATCCGGATGTAATCGCAGTGCTAGTCTTCTATATGCTTTTTTGACTTCCACAATTGTTGCGTGACGGTTAACATGCAATATTTCATAATGATTATTGCTTGATTTTATGAATTTAATTAATTCCATCGGATCCTCTATTAAATCCGTTTCGTTATTTTTCAACTCATCGCTCACATTTTTTTCACATCTATTTTTGTCTTGAAGTCTTCCGGTGTAAATATCACTTATTTTCTGATTTCTTAAATGTTCTAGTTTATGCAAGAGTTTTCTTTTACTTTTAGTTGGCATTTTGTTTTTAATTCGAAATAAAACTATTTCGTTTTTATTTTCTTAATTTGAAAGCAAATTTAATGCAGCATAAGTCATTTTCTTTCTGTATTTTGCAGTTATTCAATAAAACTTATTAGAACTTTTAATTAAAATTAAGGACATGAACATATTTTTTTATACATAGTCAATTTACAATTTAAAAATTTTAAAAATTGATGTACTTTTATAAAAATTATAATGTATATAAAATAATAATAAAACAATTTATAAAAAGAAATATTGTTTGGTAAAGGTTATGCCTAGTCAATCAACAGATAATCTCATTCTTATTTCTTAAAAAAATGAAGCAGAAGAACGTCCGAAACCTCTCGTTTAAGCAACGCTTAAATCCGCTCATAATTAATAAGAAAGATAAGCGTTTCCTAGTATTCCCTGAGGAAACCTAGGCCATAAGTCATATTCAACAAAACGTTTTAGTTATACTGTAATCCCCACTATAACGCGGTACCCTTATAACACGTTTTTATATTACGCAATTTCAACTCCCCAGTATAATACGGGCATTCCCCCATGTAATGCGGGGATTTGTACAGTTCATAATTAGCTTCGCGTACCTTTGCACTTATGTAGACGGGGTATACGGGAGTACCTATAACAGGGAAACTAACTACCGCGTTATAGAGGGGATTACTGTATATACTATATTAAAATTGAATATATATATATTATTAAAATTGAATAAAACAGGTCAGTACAATAATAATAATGAAAGTCGTAATATAAAGTGGACGACATTCATAAATTAATAATAATTATAGCTTCCTGGAGGTAATAACAAAAATATTTTAAATTAATAATAATTATAGCTTACTGAAGATAATACCAAAAATATCACTGTTAACATATGCGATTGTATACAAAACAAAATAAGTTGCAAAACTCTCCGGGCACAGATTTGTACAGATACAGATACATATATTGTAGAGATACAGATAGAGAAGAACAATGTGAACTTTAAAGCCATACATGTTCTTTTTATTATGACAATTTTACTTAAATACACACAATACTGAAAAAGTAATATAATAACGTAATATTCAATTATAATTCTCATTAGCTATAGTTAGTAGTTTAATAACACCCGCCATAATAAATTACAAAAGTATGGCCAAGTTACTAGTGACATTGATCATTGACAAGAAGTATCTTATGGAAAATGTAACATTGATATCAAAGTACACTTAACCTGAAATGTGCGGATCTATTTGATTTTGATATTTAGACGTAAAGACGGTTAATTTTGTTTATGAGGAAGATAGTCGATGCAAGATGTATTTTATGTTATCTGTGTTATGTTTTCAAAACTACGTGAAGAAGAATTTATCGTTGGCCTCATATTTTGGACAATATTACAACTTTTTGACTTAATACTATGACATTGATGATTAATTGATCGAAGTAAGCTATGACTAAAGTAAATAATTGACTTAATATTAGAATTTGTGAAATTGGAATTAAAAACTTAAAAAACGTAAATTATTCTGGTGATCTATTGTAAAGCTAAAAGTGGTAAGTATTTATATACGTATACTCGTATGCATTAGAATATTTATTTCTAAAGACAGGACGCTATTCTAATTAAAAAAAGCTTATATATAAAAATTTATGGATAATCCAAATGACGTCTCAATAAATTTTTCAATAGTGTTACTACACAGACAAATCTGAACCCAATTCATGTGTGGATCCGTTTCGTACTCTGGTAGTAAGGTAGGTAGGTGGGTAGTATAAAAAGTTTCCGCCGTTTTGGTATTGGTACCTATATATTTGGTAACTTTAATCCAATTATATAAAGCGAATATGTGTGTTAAAGGTGACGCTTGAGACCACATTTTTATGCAGGCAGTTATGAAATTCGTTACACGTGTACAAAATTATTCTCATTTCAAAATAAATGAAATATGTTAAGATATACGCTATGTAATATTTTATTGAACTAAAAAAAGTGAAACATTTGAAAAAATATGTCGAAAATGGTTTAAAGTGAGGATGATGTGAATGAGTGCGGGACCCAGAGGTGTGTGCACAATTTCGTTTCTGAAATTTCAAAGTGAAAGTACGAATATCCAACGCAAACGATAATGGTCAAAAACCGGTGATCCTCCACAAACGATTTCAAAGCCAAGATTGGTGGTAAACAATATTATATTGAGTATTTGTTGGGATTCGAAGGGACTTGTCTATTACGAACTGCTTTAGACTAGTGAAACTGTTAATATACGGTCCTCTATTGCTTATAACTTGACCGCATGAACAGAACAATGAAGAAAAAGCGACCAGAATTGGTCAAGGAAAAAGAAATTGTGTTTCAAAATGACAATGCCAGGCCACACACATTTTTGATAACTTTCAAGACATTAAAGGGACTTGATTGGGAAGTTTTGATGTATCCACCGTATAACCCAGACCATGGCCCGTCTAATTATTATATGTTTCATTCTCTTTAAAACTTTTTTATGTAACAAATTGGTCCACCGGAGAGCCACCAGAGAGTCACTTGGTAAAAGTCGGTTTTGTTTTTTCAGAATTTTAACTTTCATTTCGATCGTTGTTTTTGTATATTCCTATACGTATTTCGGTAGATTCCTTTGCCTTTATCAGGAGACTTTCTAATATTTAAAACAAAATTACACTAGGACAATTTTGTTTTCAATAAACCACAGAAATTTTACACAAATGGAAGAAATTATAAGGTATCAGATAAACTAAAGAAGTTTTACGCAGTTAGAATTAGGATGCTATCCGAAATATGGCAATAGGTCATATATAATATATTAACTTTATTAAAATACATTGTATTTATTTACCAAACGGCAGATAGTTTTTATCCACCTAATTGCACTATATCTTAAATCCCTTTATTTATATCTCTATTCCAAAATTAGTACCTGTTTTGTATATCAGACTTAATGTGATTTTTGGTTATTAGCCACCAAGAACTGGTGGCAGTTTTTCGACAGTTTTCAACAATAATATGGATATTAGAAAAACTTTATTTAATTATAAAGAAAGTTTCTACAAAAACATCATCTTTTCAGTCCTGCATTGCTGCTGGTTTCAAAACAACTTACTTCATATTCAACCAATTTAAAACTATGTACATTTTCTTACAAAATTTTTCGTAAAAGTTTTAAAGCGCACATTTACATAATGCTTTTCCATATTATGTGGTATTTTTAACTGTTTTAATCAATATAAATTTTCATTACACTTATCAGAGATATATTTAAATACTTTTTCATAATACCACATAAAGTTTTCACTAAGCTGATCTACATAGGACGCAATTGTGAGTGACTTGAATATAAAAATAAACCAATTTAAAAAATACAGGGTAGTTCAAACACATTCTGTGCTGAAAATTCTATTCAAGACAGAGTTTCTGAATACAATTTTAGTATACCCATTCCCCATAAAATGATTAAGGAAATTTATAGTATCTCGCAGAGCCAGTAAGTGCCGAAATATGGTTGGATACAGCCGGCAAGGGATGAATGGAAAAACATAACGCAAAACAAAAATCTCATTAGCAATAAAAAAGCAACTCTTGACGCAATTCATAGGAACCTTTTGTACTGTTAACATACTACACTGCCAGCAACTTATTTTCCGGCAACTCGGAAAAAAGGGCCACGTTACAGTTAAATTTTTCCCTTTGCGACGAACATTTGAAACAAATGTGACTCAATTACGAACGCAACATAAATTTATGAAGTAAATTTCAGCAAATCTAAGTAATCTGCGTGAAATGAATAAACCAACGAAGGAAAATGTATTAAACAAAAATAATAATAACAATAATAAACAGAATGCGGTGTATTGCAGATCCTGCATCCTGTCTTGCTGCGGCTCTTGTTGATATGCCTTATCAGCAACAAATACAAACCAAAGCTTTTATGCACCGAGCAGCTCGAATACGAATACCGAGCAAGGCAGGCAACAGCCACATGATTGAAGCGAAAATTGCCATGAGCTGAAGCGTCGTTCATCCACACATACCTATACGCAGCATGTGAATCTTACACAAAGGACCAATTAAAAACTGTACGGAGACCCTACCCTGTAAATTGTGGGTGCTGCTACTCGTATACGGGCTACGGGTATACCGGGTGTACGATAAGATGTACGCAACAATATATGTGCGAGCATGAACTTCCCTTAAAACGTGTCGACACAACGACGATGTCGACGACAACATAACAGCAACCTCACATAAAAAAGCAGAAAAAGATAAAAAGTACTGAAGGCAGAAGTTACTGATTTACTTTTTTTCTTGGCTCGTGCTGTGGTTATTGCGTTTGTTGGCGGTACTTAGTACAATGATATTTTCCCTGTTGGTTCAACAAGAACAACAACATTTTTTTTTATAAAAATATGGGGGAGAAAAACTCAACAGCAAAAATAATAATAACAACAACAACAATGAGAACAACAACATACAGAAAAAACATTAAAATTGAAGTCGTCAAGTATTTCAAGCGCTGTAAGTCACATACACTACACTATCAACCTGGCTTGCTGGGATTACGAAATGTTGACACTTGGTTATATTTTATTGGTTTGTATGCGAAACAGTCTTCCCGGTAACAGATGGCAACTGTGCTTTTCAATTAAGTGTCGAAAGGTTTAACGCACCTATTAAAAGGTAAACAGTATTTATTTCAGTATTTTAGTTGCAATTTTTTACGTATTTGTGCTGTGATATACTCTGTGTACTTATTCTTACACAAAGGATAATATTTGAACTGACTGGCCCGAGTATTGGATATTGAAATTGATTTCCGTTCAACAACAATCAAAAAGTTAAATTATTGAAAATATTGATTTTAAGATCTATCTCTAATGGATTTGGATATTATGACATTTTGTATAGTTTTTACTACGATAACACTCAGCACATAACGAGCGTACTTTTTAGATATAGGGGCAGTCTTTTTAATTTCTAATTGAACACTAGAGAATTGAATATATGTATCTGAATGCGTGATTATTCTTTGTGTAATCGTCATGAAATAAAAAACATATATCATATT